GAGAAGAGGAGGATATGTAGGTGGTTCACACCACTCACTATGTAGTGCAAGGAAGCTTCCAAACCAGGTTGAAAGCCTTCAAATAAGTTGGTGATAGATCACAGTTGAAGTTCAACACCCAGAACAGAAACTGAAGGGCGAAACTACAAAGAACATGTTGATGTCAGTCAGTCAGTCAGTTATCAAGAAGAGATGGGAGACATTCAGCAACATCCCTGAAGAAACCTGTGTGGATGAACACTGGAACTGTTTGAAGGAGACATGCAGGGAAACCTGTATAACCGTGTTGGGAATGAAGAAGAAGAAGTAAGACAATGAATGTATTCCCACGACTACATGGAAGCTGATGGAGGAGGGAGATGGGGAGGAAGATGGTGAAGCAGAAGATGAAGCAGTACAATGCAAGGATGCACAAGGAAAAGAAGAACTCAGTACAACATATAGAAGACTACACTGAACAAAGAAGTGTGGAGAGTGCGTGCAAAGACAAAAGACACTTCTACGACACATTGGCAAGTGAGGCAGAACAGGCTGCATGTAGGAGAGACAGAGACCTGACAGCATTATACCAAGTAAACTGAATTAGTATCTGGGAGGGAAGAGATCAACACAGACGAGATCAATGCGAGATAGTGAAGGGAACTTGGTTACCATTAAAGAGGAGAAACAAAGAAAACGATGGGCTGACCACTTCAGAAAGCTCTCGAATCGACCACCACCCGCACAACGAAGCCAGACAACTACCAGTGAATATAAGCCTTCCAACAAAAGCAGAAGTGAAGCCCTGAATGGCGTGAAGTCGCTGAAATCCGGAAAAGCAGCAGGACCAGATGGAATTCCGCCAGAAGCACTGAACATAGACTCAGAAATAACAGCGGACACGCTCACACCACTATTGCAGAATGTTTGGGAGGAAGGCAGGATAGGTACCTGGAGATTGATTGGAAGAATGGCCACCTAGTCAAACTCACAAAGAAGAGTGAGTGGCCTTAGCCTTTTGAAGAACTGACGAGGGATCATGCTGCTGTCCAGTGTAAGCAGGCAAAATATTGTGCCGTATCATTCTGGAGAGAGTAAGATATGCTCTAGATTCAAAATTATGACCGGAATAGGCTGCTGGCTTCAGGAAGAACAAGTGATGTGCGCTGTCAAATTGCAAGGCTACGCTACATATCATCGTAGAACAGAGCATGGAATGGCAGTCAACTCTCTACCTCAACTTCTTCAATTTTGAAAAGGCCTTCGACAGCATCGACCGAGAAGTAATTTGGTAGACAACTGCTTCAACACTACGGAGTACCACAAACCTTTACCATCCTCATTCAACAGCTATATGATGATGCAACATGCAGAGTGTTTTACGATAGGAAGCTCAGTGGCGCCTTCGAAGTAGTAGACTAGATCATGCAGCAAGCCGTGAGGAGCGAGAAGAGGAGCATAAGCTGGCTGGACCGATGAAAAGATAGTAGAAAATTTGGTTTTCGCCGATGATTTATGTCTAATGTCGCACAAGCTTGAAGATCTAAAAACAAAAACCAACAAGTTGACAGATGAAGCGAGGCAGCGAAGACGGGACTTCAAGTTAACGTAGAGAAGACGAAGGTGATGAAGATACCCAACCAACACCACCACCACCACCAACAAGCTCCAATCACCATCAACAGGAGAAACTTAAAGGAAGTAGCCTCTTTCATTTATCTAGGTAGCCCTGTCTCAACTACAGGTGGCGGTGGCACAGACGAAGATGTCAAAGCCAGCCAGGTTCGTAAAAGCAAGACATGCATTGATTAACCTGAAACCAGTGTGGAGATCTTCTGCACTGCATTCAGCATAAATCTTGAACAAGTTCCGGATTTTCAACACTGATGTCAGTCAAGTAAGTCAGTGCTTTTGTGTGGTGGTTGAGAGACTTGGCGCCTTACGAAAAGCATTTCCAACAAACTACAGACACTCATCAACAGCTGCTGCCTACGCTCACTCGTTGCTGAAGATCAGATGGCCATAATAGAATAATGAGAATAAGCAACAAGGAACTCTGGCTGGCTGACTTGCAACTAACGAACCAACAACCCATCGCGCATTGAATATGCAGAAGAAGAAAGTGGAGATGGATTGGATTGGACATACACTGAGAAGAAAGACGGTTTGTGGACATCACGCGCCAGTCCAGACCCTGAGTGGAATCCAAAAAAGGTGAAACGATGAGTTGGGTGTCTGTGCTGATGGGTGACATGAAGGAGATCACATGAGGAAGAAACGAAATCTTGTGGGCAGTTGTGCAGCCAGGTTGAAAAGACTGGAGAGGAAAGAGTGAAATGGTGACGTACTACTGAGTTCCTATGTCCCACTAGGGACCCAAAGGACAAACAATAATAATAATCATAAAAATGAGTGGATTGATAAGTTTAGACCTACCGACCTCCAACTTCTTAAGGATTGATTTGGTGATCTGAAAACGATGACTCTGATAACAAAGCAGTCATCTGAACTATCTAAGCGAAAATTTGAACATGTCTTACATGCCCTTTGCACCTGCTGGAACTAGTTTTCAGTAGATACTATTTCGCAGATGATGACTGAACTGGTGATATGCTTTTACCGCTTTACTTATTTGGTAAGTGTATAAGCTTGGATAGGTTGGTTGCTGATTGAACATAGCATGGATAAAATTGAACTGATTGGAAAATCACCAGCTTATACCATTTTTGGTGCTCGTGGGATACCTAACTACATAGCAAATAACAGGATTGCATAGCAGTCTGCTTTATCCTATTCTATGGCTATGAGACATACCGGATGGGAAGTAGAAAGTATGTAAAGACCATGTCATTTCACCACTGGTGTTTTTGTAGCTTCTCTGATGTCTACGTTTTGTCACTTTTGTGAACATAAAGAATACACACGGGTAATTCAAACCAATCAACTCCACACAACCTTCTGGTGACTCCTTTCGAGATGGACTTCTTGAAGTTTTGTTGAGAAATTGTGTTTTCAGTCAAGTCGAGTATGAGGACATACACTTGCTGGATGACATTGTATGACGATCACCCTATATCATGAAAAATTGTCACGCTGGACCCAGTGTCTGAGGAAATGTACTCGCTGTGGAACCCAACGACCCCTGTTTAGATCTCGTGCGGGATCATGGACAGACTGATAAAGGTTTTAAGCTGAATCAAAGAATCCATCATATACTTTTATATTTCCAATGGTTATCTGATAGATATGCACCTATGATGAAAACTTTCGAAAGATTGAATCTGTGTTACACCAAATCAACCTACTTCATAATCGCCTTAGGTTTCATAAACTGTTGCTTTCAACTAGAATTTTATTGTGCATTTTACATCATCCCTTAAGATATTTGGATTTATTGATTAGAAGGGAATATATTAGTAGGAGAGAAATGGTGAAGTGACTGACTGGATAATAATAAATCCGCAGAACGATAATAACGAGTTGTGATACTTGGACTGGATACGAGTAGCGTCTGTTCTTCCTCAGACCCTGATACTTCACTGGACTGCAAAAAGCAGGAGATAAAGACCAGCCCGTGACTGCTTGCAAGACAACTTTGACAAAAAAACACGTCATTTATATAGTTTTCCCTCAGAAAATGAAGCGACTAGGTCAAAAGTTGGATATTTATTTTGATTGGTCAGCTGAAGGACAAAGTCGTCCAATAAGGTTTTTCCGCCCACACAGTAACATGAAACTAAAGTTGAAATTCAAAACTTCTACCTTGGTGGTTATGACCTCGGATGCTGATCTCGATTTAGGCTGCTGCCTATCAAATAGACTTTCCATAGATGCTGTTGCGTATAAATAGAAAGTATTGTAACAACTTGGAATCTCTCAATCATTGATAGTGTTTTTTTGATGAAACTACAGATTGTTAAGAGTATTTAGAGACTGTCGACAGAAATCAGACACCAGCTGAAGTGCGCACTCAGCTGATATCCTCCAAACTTCCCACAAAGCTTATCTGATGAGTATTGTGCAGTAATGACGTCACGTACTCGACACAGTTACTAGTGTCAAGCAAGTCATACGTGTTACGAAGACTTTCGTTCCCAAAATAAACATCAATAAAATCTTTGTAGTTAATTCTCACCTAGTAATGTAACTTCCTCTGTTACTTTGAAATGTATATTACACTTTGATTTGAATTTGTCTAAAGTATGCTTAAATTTTGCTGATGGGTTTCGCAGATGAGTATGAATGGTATATGGAAGTTTTCATGTTGACGATAAGTAGTGTGCGTCATGAAAATTATGTATGTGTCGCTATTTTAAAGTAGCATTCATCATGGACTGACATTATTTGGGAAACCACTGAAAACCTAGGAACATTGAGCAGTCGTTTCGTCCTAATTTGAGACTCCTCAGCAATACGTGCCCATGACCCATACTAGGAAAAATGGCTGTTCAATCCTCCTAGGTTTCCAATCGTTTTCCAACTGTTGTCAGTCTGTGATGAATACTACCTCAAAATTAAAAACCCCCATCCACCCCAAAATATATCACTGTATAGTGCTCATTAGTGACATGCTTCCAGATGGATACCACGAAGTTCTAATTAGAAACCGTTATCTGTGATGTCAGTGAGTCGGGGGAAATCGGTTGCCAGCTGAAGACCTTGGACGAGAGTCACGATATATTTCGAATTGACAGTTGAAAACTTTGAACCTGACTAAATAACTGAGTGGTTAACGAGTTTGCCATGAAACCCAAATATCTGGGTTTCGACTCCTGGCAAAGTCATGGGTGCGTACTGATGATAAGTCACATGCTAGGAGGTAACAGTTGTCTATTTCTTCCAAGTTTCCAATAATTCTCCAACTGATTTCAGTCCGTGATGAATTCTACCTAAAACATAAAATCCCCATTAACCTCAGGATATATTATTTTTTTTCTTTGAATAATAAAGTATTTTGATCAAACAATGTGATATATTTAAATGATTGTTTTATTTTGCTCCCTTTCTGTATACTATTCTAGGCATTTACGTTCAAAACTTCAAGTATGTGATCGAATTGTTATATGCTTATTTATACCAGCTTCATATACTCCATGGTAAGTTAACACAAAGTTCATACTGTGACTATACTATGACCATCATCGTATTCGATATTAATATCCTACCTGTAGGAGATCCTAATCAACGTGGTTTAGTGGTTGTTAGCTATTGTCAGCAGGTGTATCAGATAGACAAACAAAAACAAAGTTGAACCTTGCACATAAGTCTATTCCTTCAAATTGCCACACTTCACAGTAGTGGATAAAGTTGTGCGAACGAATTAACAATTTGAAGATAAAGGTTAGCGTGGAAATTCCAGGTGTAGAAGGCGTCAAAAAGTGAATACACAACTGCGTTGCTGTGACCGATTTTCTGCAGTCATATTATCAAAAGTCTGCAACTATTGTTTTTTGTTTTCTCAGTAGCCGCAGTCAAGTAGTCGACACCTTTCCACATAGCTCAGAGCAACAGTCAGATAATTCATAGATTGGTGGCGCCTCTTGGTCTTTCAGCCCTGAACTCTCTTTCGACCTAATCCCAGTTTCACCTAGCGTTATATGTCGAAGTAGACGCACTTGGTCTAATCCATCTCAGTCATTAAAGGTTGGAGGGCTTTTTATGACACTTGGCTGAAGCAGATGGAGGGGGATTTAAACTAGGAACTCATGACTTGGAATGCTTAATCTGCTGACAACACGAGCTTACAGTCACATCAGTAACCGAGGTTACAGAATACGCTAAGGAATTATAAGATCAGGCGTTCAAGTAAACTCCCAGCTTTAGGAAAGCAAACTCTCAAGCGTCGTGTAAAACCCTGTAGCCAAAACTCAGGATTCCGTACCATATTATAAATATCACTAGTGGTTAATAAGATTACAAACCCAAATCTCGAAATATCTAGGTGTTGATAACTTTTTCATATATACTGTTCAACAATCACATGATCAACGAAAGACTGTGTCAAGGTGAAACCATGGAGTCGCATTGTGGATGCCCAGGGTGAGCAGAAGGGATTAAGGTGAACCAAGGTTGAAGAGATGATATGACACATTTTGAAGGGAGGTGAATAGAACGAAACAAAGAGAAGCTAATACACTGAAATAATAACTCACACAATTTTAGTCTGGTGTAGCTTCACACGTAATGGCATGTACAAGACAATGAAGTGAAATGCTTATTGTGCTACTACTCGCTATCATTAAGTAGTATGAAATTGAAGGATAAAAAAGCAGTTGTTATGATACTTGTAATTTCCTGTTGCTAAACAAGGCCGAATCGCCCGACCTCTGTTGGGAGATGGGTTGCTATGTGGGTGCTTCGATACTGCTAGATATACGTGGTGTTATATTGATCTTGGCAACTAGCAGGGGACTCCAGGACGCGCGTTTCGTCCGATTTGAGCTCATCAGCTAGATGTGCGTGCACCCCAGTGAGTGGTATTGTTCCCACTGGGGCACGATAGCCACAAGCGAGGGCGTTTGAAGCGTTGGGTATTGGGTTCAAGCTTCAGGGGGGAACAACATCACTCACTGGGGTGTAGGTACATCCCGCCGATGAGTCCCAGTTAAGATGAGACGTGGATTTTTCTGCAGTCACCAATATCAATGATTAAGAGCAGATTTGACGTATTCATTGTTCGATAGAAAGATCACGAACGAACCCGGTATTTCCATCAGTTTTAAAGTGTATAAAATAGCAAAACCACGGTTAGTACATAGTTGGATTCTAACCTGAGAGAAAGGACTGTGAATAACCTCATATAAACGTGACAACCATATTATTTATATCTTCGTAACTCGGCAAAACTTCTTTATGACATAAAAAAATAACGAGTTTCGTGAAGTATCTAGGTCCTGACTACCTCTCCAGTAGCCAGTGTGTCAATTATTTCAGCTGAATATCATTAAATTTGTTCATACTTCATCTTGTTTGCTCAGATCTCCTGGCCAACCTCAGGTTTTTTTATCTTTCAGCTCCATACCACTTATCATTAATGAGTAGTAATACCACATTCACTTTACTTTTTGATATTATTCAGTTACACCATAGCGCATTTATGCCTAGCAAGTTATTATTTCAATATATTAACTTCCCTTGCTATTTTTGAATTTCATTTCACTCTCTTCAGTTCCTTTCATATGTGTCACATCGTCTCTTTAACATTGGGTTCACCGTGATCCCTACTGTTTATCCTTTGCATTCGTGGCGTAACTCATTGATTGATACACTTCTTGAACAGTGTATTCGACAACCTTATCAACGTTTAGACACCTCCAAATATGAATTTATAATCTATAATTTAGAGTTGAGTTCTGCAATATTGAGTTCTTATTGAAATGTTTGGCATTGGAATTCGGAGGAGTATTCTGTAGAATATGAATATTGATTTCAGTCCTCCTCAGCATACTGTAGATTATTACTGACTGAAAATAAGCTATGAAATGTGTGAATTCAATCCTGCGATTTCTTGCTTCTTTGAATGGTGACAATTCTCGCACTGTTAGCTAAACAGTAATGTATCAATTGTGTGTATGGAATGGTTACAGTCTTGATTTTCGAAGACTACACTATTTTTCCTCAGTTTGTTTCTTAACGGAGGGTATTTTGTACAATGAATACAGAAAACCCAGATAATAGTGTGTGTGTGTGTGTGGCAGCTGGAAATCGCATGTGATTTCTATGGACTATGTTTTGGAGAACACGTGGATTTCCTTTCGAAGTTCAGTGTATTGATTTGTCTGTCTACTCTACTCTACTACCTTAAGAAGAAGTAGCTTTCCACAGTGTGGGTCGCCGTGAAGTGTCAACTGCCATCACGCTACCACCAGTATTCAAGACCCAATCAAACATAACCTATCGTTTTGTGTCTCACCAGCAACCGCCACCCAGGTTCAGTGTATATATATATATATATATATATATATATATATATATATATATATATATATATATATATATTCACGCATACAGCTTTGGTGGTCACGTTGTACATTTGTATAACAATAATAATATTATTTGCATAAAGTTATTTACTATTCCTTTATTGTAGGTTATTACTACGTGATTTTCATGCCTCTTGGGGATTGACTACACTGTGGTCTGTATGGATCGCTGCAATCTTTGGATGTGCATTTCAGTATATTTATGTTGATAGGTAAATACTGGATTATTTTTCTAATTTCATTTCAATTGTAATAACTTCGCGTGTGATTGTGATGACTTTAAGCACGTGATTCGGCTTATTCACTATTAACAGTGACCTTGCACGTGATTGGCTATAAGATAGACCACACAATTCTGCCCTCCTAACAGTGTACAATACAACGCAATGTCTGTTGCTTGTTGTTCATGTATTTCAGATGATATGACTCAATCTGTACATACAACCAAATTATCTGATCGCAATGCAGTATAATTTATGAAGATGAAACAACCAATTTCAATCACAAAATATGGGATAATGTACAATAATAGATGGATTTCATTAAACATGTCAATATTTTCCAGCTATAATTCATACTTAAATAGGTGAGGCGTGAATCGGAAGCTCTTAAACCGAGCTATACATTAATGTTACCATTTAAGTTTTAAGTAAAGTGACTTTTAAGATAAGTGAAATAACACGACCAATGACACCTATTTGAGATTCACATTTTCCACTTTTCGGTTGATATAACAAAAGTAAATCCATGCATAGGGTAGTAGTCATGTTTCACGTAGTTAAGATTGCCTCTGAACAAGAGATATTTTCACAGTTAGCCTCTTCGTAAATTGGTCACATCTGTTAGCTGATAATATTTCAGTTGACAAAACTGTACTTTCTATTCCATGTTATCTAAATAAAAAAATTTGTACCTCTATAATTTTTTCTTTCTTTTCCATATGAAAAGCAAGTGTAGTTGTTTTCATACTTGTAATTTCCCGTCGCTACACTGCGTCGAATCACTCGACCTCCGTTAGTGGATGGATTCCTATACGGATGCCTCGATATTGCTCGGTTATTTATAATCTATTCATCTTAGTGAATCGCAGTGGAATCCAAGACGTAGATATAACAGATATTTGGAGAGATTTGTAAAGACTGGTTAGCTGGGACTGACGGTTGGAAATTATTCATAATTATATTCCTACTGGGTAGCATATGTAGGAACGAAAAGTTATCCCATAGCTTGTTTTTACTGTCAGTTGCCATTAAAATTTAGTTGCATCACTAAATAACTACATGCATGTTAATGATGAATAGTGTCTAGCACTGGAATCCAGGACGCGCGTTTCGTCCTAGTTAAGGCTCATCAGCGGGATGTATCGCTCACTGGGAGGCACGTACATCCAGCTGACGAGTCCTAAAGAAATAGGACGAAACGCGCGTCCTGGATTCCACTGTCAGCCACTACCCATCATTAATGTCTAACTGAAACGTAGACAATGTCGAGGCCTTCACAGAGAAGCCGATGTGCCAATAGAGAATGACCAATTCGGTCCACTCAACGACAGTATAATACAAGCAATAACATTAAGTACATGCAAAGTTAAAAGTCCACTATTTTTAGTCTTTATAAAGGATATTAATCTTCAAGTCTGAAGACTATAAAAGAAAATCCATTTTATTCTACACTACCACTACACAAATATCCAGAAATAGCTAATTAAGCAGGCTGATGAGGTTACCAGTAAGTTGAGAGACGTGAATTCGAGTTCAGAAGTCTTTCACCATTTTTCCACGCATAATATAACTAACACTATAATGTATTATTGCTTCCCCAACCACTGACGGATTTAACAATTATTTTCTGTGGTCCCAGGCATATTTAAGGATAGTTGGGAACGGATGAGCTTTGGAACATTTAGCCGTACTCTAAAGGTATGCTTCTAATGTATAGATGATACGTTTACAGTACTGAAATCGGACCACATCAATAGGTTCTTGGCACATATAAATTCAGTGGTGAATGCAATCCAATTTACCTGTGACTAAAAGAGTGATGAAGGTAAGTTAGCAATGTTGGATTGTAGGATTAAGCAAACACAAGACGGAAGTCTGGAAACTAGTGTCTATAGAAAACCTTCTCATTCAAATGGCTACTTAAACTTCAAATTATCTCACCCCATTTCAGTTAAAGTAGGCTTAGTTATATGGTCAAGTGATAGGATGGAGAAGCTTATTAGTAGACCAGAAAATCTACGACAAGAAATTAGACACATCAAGAATACCTTGTGTCTTAATAATTACCCACCTAAATTTATAAACAAATTCATAAGAAATCGAACGAAAAAATATGAGCAGTGGTAGTAGTGGTAGTAGTAGTAATATAGGTGCTATTAATAATAATCCTACTACTAATAGTAATGATGGTGACAGGGTTGAGAGAGAATTCAAAGCCTCTGCTGTGTTACCATACAAGGAAGGTACCTCAGAAGCACTACGAGGAATTCTCAGTAAGGCTGCCTGAGATTAGAGTAGCATTCAAACCAACAAACTCACTTAGAAACAAGCCTTTTAGATTCAAAGATCCTATCCATTCAAGTAAGTAAAATATTTGGGTCTCCCAACAAAGCCTTTGCAATGATTGCGAGGTCAAATACATTGGTGAAAATAGTCGACCAGGGTCAACTAGAATAACAGAGCACGAAAACTTAGCTAAATCATGATTAGTAGATCCTAATAAGATTTAGAGATGTGCTCAGTTATAGCTCTGCATGCAATGACACACAATCAGACAGTAGGGTGGGATAGGGTGACGGTGTTGAAAACTAACCTAGTTGGGTGAAGGGAGAGATTGATAATCGAATCTTTGTTTATCGAATCAACACCTAATGCATGCAATCGAAATGATTCTGCACCTGTGTTCCAAATATATGGAAAATTCTACTACCCTTTTCATTACAGAGAAGAAGAGAAAGTGAGGACTATATAAACTCTATCTGAAAGTTGTGGAGTTAGTTACCTGATATGAATATGGACAATAAATTGTGTCCATAACGTTATCCAGTAAATGAACAATACTATTTCATTGTGTAACATTTCCAATAAACAGACTAAAATCGAATTACAATCGACGACAGTGCCCAAGTTTTACTCCTATATTATAGATTTCAAATAACCTATAAGTGTTAGTATCAGTCTTCAAACTGGGTTGTTTCGTTATTCAGTCCTAATCTACGCGGCAATGTTAGCGCAGCCTTTTCCATTGTGATAGATAGATGGACATCTGGCAAAGAAGTGAATCGGTACAAAATGCTAGTTAGAAAAAGGATGGTATCAAATTAATTAAAGGTGTATGGAATGTGTGAGAGTTTTGAAAAAAAATGACGGTAGTGATAATGTTCAAGCTTTAGAAGATTTCAAACATTGAATCCATCTGTATCGTTGTGATTGATTTTAAGCGAAGTCACCAGTGGTCTCAAATGATTGTTTCTTGCTATCTTGACAACCCAAGCCACACTACTTAAGTCAAGTCAATAGTAAGAGACTTCATGAACTGGTGCCAGGTCTTCGTCTGGCTATCCTAAGCCTTCTTTGAACCTAATCTAACTCCTGCTAACATTTCACATCCAGGTAGGCGGTAGCTGGGTATGCACAGTACATACTCAAGTCATCTGGGTCTCTGAAGGTTCACAACTTCATCGATCGCTTTCCCTTCCTTGCATAGTAGCTTACGCCTTACCCTGACATTACTCATGCGGTGATTTCACCATACGCGAGAAATGCTACGAAGACACATATGGTCAGAAACCTGTAGTCTGTTTATATCTTCTACTTTCAAAGATCATTCTTCACAGCGTATAACAGGACAAAACAGACTGGAGATTGGTATACTCGTCCTCTGATGATAGACGGTTGAATATTTCGTCCGTCGGCCTCAGAAGTGACGGTAGTTAAGAAATTCCGAACGATTTTTCTGTATCCGAGCTGAGATTTCGTCAGGAACTAGGCCGTTCGGCTTGATGCGCCTCTTGAAATAAGTGAAGTGGTCAAGTCATTCAACCGCGTAACTGTCTTTAAACTAGGAGTATTTACAGAAGCATCAACTTACATTTGGTAGCTGTTAAACGCATAGTAAACATGCTTAAATTTTTACTCAAGGCATCCAGAATACCCTGCATTTTTCTGCGTGCTCCAGGTCAGTCGGATGCTCTCCAAGAAGTAGTTTAGTCCGTGTGAAGTCACAGGTATTTAAAATTAAGTGTCGGCCGCTGATAAGTGTGCCTGTGTTCTATAGCTTAATGAAGGGTGAAAATCTGATCAATACACTCTCGTCCAGGTATAAAATCTGTTTAGTTTTCTAAACTTTGCTATTCCAGAGCTTCGGTTATGCATATTTTTGTCTTTTTATATCAGGTTAAAAATTTTTGAAGAGTTTTATTGGTAACATTATATTTTTCCATTTGTAGGTATAAATCTGTTGAATTGTTAGTTTACCTGGCTATCTCTATTTGTCCGGCTTACAGTTTTATATACATGGTAAGTACCGTGTATAATTATTATTACTTAAAAACTCTGCGCATCACATTGAGTCATTAGCGTTAAGCCTGAGTGTCTCATTCACGACACTAGTAGCTACTACAAGGCGTCGAAATGTGCGTACAGTGTAAGTAATGTACAGTATTATTCGATGTTCTCCAGCATTATGCGAAGTAATATTTAACTGTTTCAATGAAAAGTCTGAACTTTTCAAGTGAACGTAGAGAAGATAGAGGTGATAATGATACCCAACTAACAACAACAACAAGCACCAATAATTTTCAACGGGAGAAACTTAAAGGAAGTAGTCTGTTTCACCTACTTAGGCAGCATCATTTCAACTACAGGTGGCACAGATAAAGACGTCAAAGCCATGATCGGAAAGACAGGTAGACAGGCCCTTCATCAATCTGAAACTTGTGTGGAGATCTACTGCACTACACTCAGCATAAAGCGTGAACAAGATCCGGATTTTCAACACTAATGTCAGTCAAGTAAGTCAGTGCTTTTGTGTGATGGTTGAGAGACTTGGCGCCTTACGAAAAGCATTTCCAACAAACTGCAGACATTCATCAGCAGCTGCCTACGCTCGTTGCTGAAGATCAGATGGCCATAATAGAATAATGAGAATAAGCAACAAGGAATTCTGGTTGGCTGACTCGCAACTCACCAACCAACAACCCATCGTGCATTAAATATGCAGAAGAAGAAAGTGGAGATGGATTGGATTGGACATACACTGAGAAGAAAGACGGTTTGTGGACATTACGCGCCAGTCCAGACCCTTGAGTGGAATCCAAAAAGGTGAAATGATGAGTTGGGTATCTGTGCTGAGGGGTGATATGGAGGAGATCACATGAGGAAGAAACGAAATCTTGTGGGCAGTTGTGCAGCCAGGTTGAAAAGACTGTAGAGAAGAGAGTGAAATGGCGACAGGCCACTGAAGTCTTATGTTCCACTAGGAATCCCAGGGACAAATAATAATTCAGTGAAAGTTCGGAACATATATTCCAGATCAAGCATTGAAACAAAGTTTCAGCTTTATAAAAGCAGCGTGGAAAAACTGAATATAGGTGCCATACTGCCAAATAACGACTGAGATTAATAAGGTTACAAATATAAAATTGAAGGTGTCTAGGTGTTTATAACGTTGCCAAGTACACTGTTCAAGAAGTGCTTGAATGAATGATAGTCGATTCATGAATGCTCATGTTAAGCAGAAGGGATTACAGTGAACCAAGGTTGACTAAACGATTTGTTACACGTGAAGAGAACTTGGGAGAAGTCAATACTTGGAAATATTATCTCGTTAAACACATGTAATCTGACGAAACTTCATGCATAAATGGCATATACTAGATAACAAAGTAGGGTGTGCATAGTGCTACTACTTACTATCACTGAGTAATATTAAACTGAAGGTAGCGTAAAAATGACATGGTTGAATATGTACAGTTGATAAACTGTATCCGGTACTTCGGGAAACCGGTGCTACATTCAGTATCCAGAGAAGTGTGGTATGAGGTAAAGTAAGCGCTCCTCATATAGTGATTTATCGGGATTTCGATTACTTCGTCGAACTGCACAGTGAGTGATCATACCGAAATGGGGTTTCATTGTCGAAAGTCAAATAACTCTAAGCTTGTTACAACTGGTTATTTGGATAACTCTTAGTTTGTAATAAAAATTGTTGTTTTCCTCTATGGTTGTATTTACTTGCTTTTATGAACTGATAAGCGATTGAAAGTTACAGTCAATGGTAGATTTACTCTAAAGGTCACCTAGCAACTCCTGAAATAACCAATCCGGTTTCGGTATTTCACCTGTAAAGGTTGTAAGAATTTCTCAAGAAATTCGGAACCAAAGTGAATAAGCGACGCTCCAACAATCAGCCAAACGTCGAGTTTCGCGTAAAATCCAGAATACGGTTCTATATTAATCAACGATATTGAGTAGTAAAATAAACCCTGAATAGTGAAGTATCTGCGGGTCGCTATCAAAGCATTTTACAGTGAGGGCATCAACAGTAAAAACAGCAAAGGTGTGTCTAAGCAATCAAATGGGAATATAAACGACGCGCGTAAGTTTTACGATGAGGTAAAGACGCAAGATAAATAAATGTTCAGGGAACAAGAAAGAAATTACAACACCATGAACTGGGAAAATACTAATTTAAAAAAATACGATGAGCGAAGTTACATTATAAGAGAGCGGGAACTATACTACTCAATAATATCAAGTAGTATAAAACTGAAGATATGCACAATGGCAACATCGTGTAGTCTAAACGAGAACAAGTAAGAAAGGAACTAACAAGTTATTTTTCATAAAATAAGTGAGACGTTCTTGATTATTGAATCAGTTGTCTCGATGGCATATAAAGTCAATCTTGGTGTTATGAGGATCAGATTTATAAGCTTGACATCTTGGGAAGAATTTGCTAAGTTGAATTTGGGGATTTGTGGGGATTTAGTGATTTTCCAAGTTGGTATTCATCATGGACTGACATCAGTCCCAGAAACAATGGGGCATGAGAGCACTGGGTAGCTATTTCATCATAGTATGTAATTACTCATAAGTGCGTACCCATGGCCACACCGGGGATTGAACCTCAGGACCTCCAGATTCCGCAACCGCCATATCACCATAGGGCCACTGGTTCGGAATCCAATGGTCCACATTTCCAACTTCTGTCAGTTCATGACATAGTGTGACCGTCATCCAATATCATCGTTTATTATTTATCCTCATGGCCACGAAGTTTACCGCACCGGTCACGACTTCTCATTGAAGCTTCAGGAATACTAACTTGAAAAACCACTAAATCCCAAAATTCATTTGATCTAGTGCTCATTACTGACTAACTGCGAGAGGTGATTCCTGAAGTTCAAATGAAAGTCATGACCAGTGGGGTAGACCTGGTAGCCGTGAGGACAAATACTCAACGTTGACATTGGGTGATGTTCTTGTTATATCTTGAACTAACAGAAGTTGGAAATGTGGACCATTGGATTCCGATCCAGCGGCTGAATGGTTACGTGCTGCTCGTGGGGCCCTAAGGTCGCGAGTTCGACCCCCGAAGGGATGGGGTCATGGGTACGCATTGCTGAAGAGTCCCATTCTAGGACGAAACAGCTCTCCATGCTCCCAAGTTCCAAATGTTTCTTCAGCTGATGTCAATCCATGATGAATACCAAGCATGTGATATTGTTATGTTAAAACAGGCGAAGTCGTGATTTCTGTATACATACAATATACAATATAGTATGAATGGGGATACTACTTTTCGCGTATATCTTCTCAATAATTATTTATTTTATGAGTTGTTACACTGTAACAAGAGTATACTTCTTTTTTTTCTTTCTTCTAATAATTGATTATTATGACTACAGCATGAACAGTCTGGTTTATCAATTGTGTTACTTGGTGCAATAGTTTACCTATCTGGAGTGATATTCTTTAAACTTGATGGTCATATCCCATTGGCACATGCTATTTGGCATTGTTTTGTATTCATTGCAACATTTCTACAATTCACTGCTGTTGACACTTTTTTGTTAAGTGATTGAATAAGAAAAATAATATTTTCTAATATTTATGAAATAAGTGTGATTTTGTTTTCGCTTTTTAGAAAAGATCTTTTTTCCAGTTTTTTTTCTCTCCCTATCTCTCTTTAACTTTTATTCTTTTCAATTCGATTGGATTACTTTTTCCTTTTGCTAGTCATGATGTTTAAGTTATTTACTTTTCTTATAGAAATTTGTGTTAAAATATTGTATACTACTAATAAACTTGTTGTGTCTGTCTGTATTGTGTGTACACTTTATTTTAATTTCATCTACTTTTATTCTTTATGCATAATGATGTCAGAGATATTTTGTTTGGTTTAAAATTTAAAAAGAAAATTGATTTACTTATTTCATTTTATCTGATAAACATTATTAATGTGTGATGTAGTATGTACACATCATCTCAATGACCTTGTGTACTTTTTTTACACTTGTTTGACCTTGACGTGTCAGGTGTTTGTATAGATCAGTGGTGTGTCTATTCAAAGTGATCGATGAACGGACAGACAGTAGTGGAAGCCTGACGATCCCTCTGTTCAGTAATTTGTGTCTATTTTGAAAGTTTATATTGATGTAAATGATGCTCTATATTTTTCACTCATCCCTATTATTCTTGAGTTTCATGTATTGTTTTTTGCTCGCTTAAGGTTGACATTTCAATTTTTTCATCAGTTCAGTTAGATTTATTGTATTATTTTCTCTTTTTATTTCTTGAAAAAAAGAAAATTATATTTAAGTTGGGTAGAGAAACTCATACTTATTTGGGGACTTGCCTTTTGATGATTGCTGTTCTCACTAGGACTCTAACCCATAGCTGAAACTCCCCAAACCCTGTAATGTTATCCACTATGCCACTGAGTAATGGTAATCATTACTTTTACGATGATGAGTATATTATTGGTTTGATGTTATAGCTTGTAAATCTTCGTCGTTGATTAGACCGAGTTGATCAGGTACCATTGTCATATGAGTTGTTGTGTGATTAGTCCTTGGTACAAGCAAGTATTAGTTGGGCGCAGCTACATCCAACTGACGAATACCGGCAATATCGAGGCATCCGTACAGGTGCCCATACCAGCTGACCGATTCTAATCAATCAGTGACGGAGATTCACATGCTCTAACATAGAAATAGTAAAAGTGATTACTGTCTCTCACTTCTCTCTCAACCAACTCCTACAGACATGATTTTCGATTGAAAGCTTTGTACTTTCATTACAAAAGAAGGCATCAATTAAGATACACACATATCAGAAGTATAAATAAAGGTAATGGAAAAATTATTATCATCACAAATCGATACTAACAAGTCAAACAATTATACAGACTGAATACCTCAGACTTAGATGAAATTCAGGTCGAAGAATATTTGATACATTTCTCTTGAGTACAATTTCATCAAAGGAAGTAGCCTAGACTGCTAGTTTTGTAGGATTCAATGATTCAACACGATTGGCTATACAGTACAAGGGATTAGTATAAGAAGTAGTGCAGTGATCCATATACATTCAACAAAAGATGACGTAAAGAGATAGCTACTCAAAGTGTGGTATATGATTTACAAAAGGTTTGAAGTTCTATAGGTAATTTTTAAGCATTTAATTATATGACATAGGTTGTCTTCATAACATAGGCAATTTGCCGTCGAGGATTTCATTGGTTTCAAGTTGGTATTCATCTTCAAGAAACTTTCAAACTGAAATAACTGTCCAGTGGTGATTAGTGACTTGCTTCGAGATGAAGTTTTAATGAGAGGTGGTGATCAGTAAGGTTAATTGGTTAGAAGTGAACTGGATGGCAACTAACGACTTGGGTGGATAGCCGTGCTATATCACGAATTGACAGGAGTTGGAAGCTGTGAACCATTGAACTCTGTTTCAGTAACTGATTGGATGGTTAACACGTTCGCTGTGAAACCTGAAGATCCTGAGTTCGATCCCTGGGAAGAGGTGGTTGTGGATGCATACTCCTGAGGAGTCCAATGCTAGGACGGAACAGTTGTCTATTGCTCCCAGGTTTTCAACTGATATCAATCCGTGATGAATGCTACCTTGAAATGATTTATTTGATGCGAACTTCTGTAAATTATACGATTTCTTGCATTAGTTTTTTATCGATAAACTATCTTCCTGTTAGATAGATATGTGGACTGTATTTCGCTGTCTACTTCGTGTAATAGCTTGTAGGCAGTTGTAAAGGCGATAAAAAGCTATGAATTTATAGTATTGTGTACTTTTAGCTTACTAATACTTCATGCAGTTGTATTAATTAGGCATAAGATTATCACCAGAATTTTATACGTATTTTTGCTGTAAAAAAGGTGAACAAAAAAAATGTAGAACTTGGACACTGTGGTAGAGTGTCATTCTATATTAGATTTATTTATTTATTTGATATATAGAGCACAGTATAATTTACTTGATGACTATGTTTCGAGTAAAAACTACTATTTATTATAATCAGATCATAGACGCAGAGTCAACAGCGGATATGCTCACACCACTACTGCAGAAGGTTTGCAAGGAAGGAAGGAAACGGCTGCCTTGGTAAAATCCCAAAGAAGAGAGACTTAAGTCTTTGCAAGAACTGGAGCGGAATCATGCCCCACTCCTGTCCACCCGTAGCAAGCAAAATATTATGCCGCATCATCCTGAATAGACGAAAACATGCACTGAATTCAAAACTACGATTGGCTTCAGGAAGTATGAATTATGTGCGGATCAAATTGCAACCCTACGCCACTTATCATCATAGAACAGACGTAGAATGGCAGTCAACTGGATCTCTACCTCAACTTCATCGACTTGAAGAGGCCTTTGACAGAGTCGACCGAGAAGTAATTCGGCAGACAGCTGCTTCAACACTGCGGTTTAAGTACCACAAATCTTTATCAATCTCATTCAACAGTTATATGAAGATGCCACATGCCAAGTGATCCACAATGGAAAGCTCAGTGATGCCTTTGAAGTGAAGACGAGGCTGCCGCCTACTATCACCCATAATCTTCTTGGTTGTCGTGGACTGGATCATGCAGCAAACCGTGAGGAGGGAGAAGAGGGGCATACGCTGGTTGGACAGATGAAAAGACCCCAGAAGAAGATTCGGATTTCGCCGCCGATGGTGATTTATGTGTAACATCTTTCCGCACAAACTCGAAGATCTACAGGTGAAAACTAACAAGTTGGTAGAAGAGGCGAGGCAGCGAGGTCGGGATTTGAAGTGAGTGTAGAGAAAATGGAGGTGATGAAGATATCCAACCAATACCACCATCAACGGGAGAAACTAAGAGGAAGTAGCTTCTTTCACCTACCACCGAGGCAGCATCGTTTCAACTACAGGCGGCACAGATGAGGATGTCAAAGTCGGGATCGGAAAAGCAAGACAGAGGTTCATTAACCTGAAGGCAGTGTGTAGATCTTCTGCACTCAGCATAAAGCGTGAACAACATCCGGATTTTCAACACCAACACCAACGTCAAGTCAGTGCTTCTGTATGGTTCAGAGACTTGGCGCGTTATGAAAGGTATTTCCAACAAACTACAGACATTCATCAACAGCTGGCCAGAATAGAATAATGAGAATAAACAACAAGTAACTCTGGCTGGCAACGAACCACCAGGAACCTACTACCCAAGAAATATGCAGAAGAAGAAAGTGGAGATGGATTGGGCATACGCTGAGAAGATCATTCGGGGACATCACGCACCAGGCCAGGCACTTGAGTGGAATCCCAAGGTGAAACGATTAGTCGGGTGTCTGTGCCGAGGGTGGCATGGAAGAGATGATGTGAGAAAGAAATGAGAGCTTGTGGGCAGTGGTGGAGCCAGGTTCGAAAGATTGTAAAGAACAGATTAGAATGGAGATGTGCTACTGAAACTGTATGTTCCACTAGGAATTCAATGGATAAATAATAATCAGATAATATAATCACACGACTCTCAACATCTGACTTTTATAATGCTATTGTAAGAAATAACAAGATTGAGACATAAGACAGAACGTTTATTACAATATCTTTTACAGTAGTAATGAAATATTGTACACTTCACACTAAAATGATCATTTGCACAATGTACTTCTTAACATCCATTTTGATCAGTAGAACACAGTACACTATCACCCAACTTATACTCTTTGTTTCTTATGCCTTGTGAAGTTGACCATATTTCTGGTAACGGTGTTGCATCATTTCTATTACGTGTTGGCTGGGTGTTGTATGTTGATTTAATGAACAAAGAATTCAGTAATCAATCTCTCTCTCTCTCTCTCTCAACCTAATTATATTGGACTTAAGTACAGTGGTTTAATCCCATGCTATTCTATTGTGTAGTTGTATGTTAATACATCCGCATTGTAATAACCAAGTGCTTCTCTCAATTAATAATCCTCTTCGAATTTGTTATTCTATATTTAGCTAGATTCCCATGTTTATCTATTCTAATTAACCCTAATCGGCTAGTCTGATCTATGTACTTGACCTGACTTATAGTTATTACATGTAATTTGATAGATTAGATTACTTTACTGAATTGATTCTATCGTATCCTTAAGCAAGCCGATAAAGCTTATCTTTGAGTGAATCTATAGGTTTGTATACCATTTTAATTCTAGTTTTGTTGACAATCCTGCTATTCTTTGTTATTATTCATATTACTGTTATTATTTCATTATTAATATTTTCTTAATAAACTGTACAGGATAATTATTAACGTTACTTTTATGTATTTCAATTGTTGTACTAGACTAACAAATTTTCTTTCAGTTGTATTATTTAGACATTTGACTAAATCCACCTTACTCAATGAAAACATGTACATACATACACATTAATGCAATAGGCAATGAATCATACTTATCTAGGCGTAGCTATTCAAAATCATACTGTACATTGAACAAAACACGAATTCATCACCTATTGATACTCACAGCATGAATCATCTTCTAACTCTTTAAACTAACTTAAAAAAATTGATTCCATTCATAAAATATAAAAAAAATTTCAATAATTAAAAATAATTAAATAGTAAATACATTAATCATAATCTTCATAGATTAAGTAAGATTGGAGAGTAAAATTCAATTCTTTACATCGTAAAAATATTTTTTTTAATTTTTACTTTGGTCGAGGAGATAGATAGACAGATAGGTAGATAGATAGACAGGTAGGCGGATAGATAGATGGATAGACAGACACACAGATAGAGAGAAGGACAAATAAGCATACATACTACATACAACATACAACACATGTGTATAAAAAAAGAAGAGAAAAGAATTTTGCAAAAATACATTTCATATCTTTACAAATTTTTCAAAGGTTAAAAAGAAAGACACATGATATTTTATTTTTATTGGTTAAAAATTATCGTCATTATCATCATTTTACTTACTTACTTACAAATTGGACGGACTGTAGGCTAATGCAACAGGATGATTTTGAAAATGTGGTACATTGTAATGACTATTAGTTTGTTTATCTTTACATTAGATATACGTGATATTGATGATGATGATGATGATAACATGTCAATACGATTAATACGCATAGTAGCTTGAACAAAATGTAGTCGTGTTTTCCTTATTTTGAATGTTAAATTTAATCCCCATGTTAAATAATCACATCGTAATTGTTGTTTACTTGTACCAGAATCACCAGAGAATACAACATAGACAGGAATAGAAGGAGTTACATCAGTAGGAATTGTTGTTGTAGCAGTAGTGAAAGTAGGACCAAGTGCATTAATATTTCCATGCATTTGTAAATAAACTTGATCTAATCGATGATAATGAAGCATGAATAGAAGTGTAGCATTTTCAGTGAAAAAAAATGGATGTGTTTGGTGTATCCTGGTTTCAGTGGACTGAAAATAATAAATAAACACTATCAACTATACTTGAAAATTAATACAAGTGTAACTTTACACTACACTTTAATCTTTAAATGACGTAAATAGAAGATGAAGTCTACTTGAACAATCTGTGTGTGTGTGCGTGTATATATATATATATATATATATATATATATATATATATATTCTCACAATACACATTTCAAACAATCTGATCCCCTATTCAATTACTTATTAAGTCAAATTTTGAGGGGGTTGTGGAGATTTGGAAATATTTCAAGTTGTTATTCATCGAAGACTGACATCAGTTGGAGGAACAAAGGAAACCTGGGAGCTGTTTCATCCTAGTATGGGACTCCTCAGCAGTGCGCACCCACGACCCCACCAGCAGGGATCGAACCCGCGACCTTCAGGTAACGCGACCAGCGCGTTACCATTGAGCCACTGGGTCAGAATCCAATGCTCCATATTTCCAACTTCTGTTAGCTCACGATATAGCGCGAACTGCCACCCAATGTCATCGTTGAGTATCTGTCCTCACGGCCATCAGGCTTTGACTCCACCGGTCACGACTTGTCATTGGAACTTCGGGAATACTTCTCGAAGCTACTCACCAATGAGCATCAGTTCAATTAAATTTTTGAGGGGGTTGTGGGTTGCTGGTGGGGTCGTGGGTGCGCACTGCTGAGGAGTCCCATACTAGGACGAAACAGCTGCCCAGTGCTCCCAGATTTCCTTTGTTCCTCCAACTGATGTCAGTCTTCGATGAATAACAACTTATTAAGTCATTTTATATGAAACTGAAGAGTGAGAGGACAAATATAACAACCATAAGGCTAATAGGATAGTAAAATTAAGAAAGATGACAACAAACAAGAAGAACAAATTTGTTTTTCTATCTACACAAAGTTGGTCTCAATTTGTGTATGTCTATCAACTTATGTAAATCTCATAATACATTCATAACTGTTTCTATAATATTATTTAGTTATGGATAAAGATGATCATCTCCCACCTGAACTTATCACGATTTTATAACTACAAATTTTATTGAAGCCAATTTAAGTGCATATTCTTCTACCCTCAATTGCATGGCTTGATTACTCCTCCCTCTGTGTGTGTGCGTGTGTATCTATGACCGCAAACACACACATGTAGATTGGCAAAAACACAAAGGGATATGATGTGATCAATGATAGATAGGCGTTCATTAACCTGAAACCAATGTGGAGATGTGCACTCAGCATAAAGCGTGAACAACATCCAGATTTTCAACACCAACGTCAGTCAAGTCAGTACTTCTATATGGTTCAGAAACTTGGCGCGTTACGAAAAGCATTTCCAACAAACTACAGACATTCCATCAACAGCTACATATGCTGACTCCATACTGAAGATCAGATTGCCAGAATAGTAAAAATAAGCAACAAGGAACCTTGGGAACGAACCAACCAACAACATTTTACCCAACAAATATGCAGAAGAAGAAAGTTGAGATGGATTGGATTGGGCATAAACTGAGAAGACCATTCGGGGACATCACACGACAGGCCAGGTCATCGAGTTGAACCCGCATGGGAAACGGTGAGTTGGGCGTCCCAGCTGAGGGTGACATGGAGGAGATGGTGTGAGGAAGAAATGAGAGTTTCTAGGCAGTCGTGGAGCCAGGTTCAAAAGATTTTAGAGAACAGAGTAGAATGCAGGCGTGGTACTGAAGCCCTATGTTCCACTAGGAACCCAAGGACAAATAATAATAATAATAATAACATAATAATTCTCACAAATCAGTCTGATATGAGCTTTTTACGGTGTTAGGTCTTTTTAGTAGACAAGCCATATCCTCCTACTTTTTACAAATCACTATGATATCATCATTTTTAGACATAAGCCAACATCAACCGTAAGTAAAGCATTTTAAGCAGATAATTTTATGATTGTGAAAAAAGAGAAAACACATATTTCAACACAAATCTAAAAACTACATCAATGATTACATCATATCCCATTGTGTTTACCAATCTACATGTGTGTGTGTGTGTGTGTGTGTGTGTGTGATGATAAACACACACAAGGAGGATTAATCGAGTTATACAGTTGAGAATGGGAGAACATGTACCTAAATAGCTTCAAAAAGAAATAGAATAGGAAACAGTGATGAACGCTGGTTGGCGACGTCCATCTTCTCATCTACAGCTAAACATAATATGCAAGCAGGTCAGTAAATAAATGTTCAAACAACTTTTAAAGTTTACCTAGAAATAGTTAGGGACGTATATTGAGATTTACAGAAAACTAAGAGTCATACACAAATTGAAACCAGAACCAATTTATTCTTACACACTACATCTATATCTCATGGTAAACTTTGTTTAGATTAGCATCAACTATGTCAATCTTACTGTTTATTCTCATCTTTCATAATCTTAATTTTATTCCTTTATTATCCTTATGCTTGTTAATAATTGTCCTTTCACTCTTCACTTTCATATAAATCAACTTAACAAGTAAATATGTATGGGGGGGGGGTGATCAGAATGTTCGAAATGTGTATTGTGCAAACACATAACACATTGTTCAGGTAGACTTCATCTTCTAATTACGTTATCGAAAAATATAGAAAAACGAGATGATTAATGTTTCATTTTGGTGTGGATATTGAAAAGAAAGAAATCACCTTTTTGGAATCAGGATGTATCATTGGCTATGGAAATGAACCATTTGAAAAGATATAAAGTTTATTGATTCGAATGCCTTAAACACTAGAAACAGCGTTATATATATATGAAGAAGAATTTTAGATGTATTTCATACTATTAATCGGATACGACTATCACTTATGATCAATCTGATTGTGATGAACTGGATTATGCAACAAACTGTGAGGAGGGAGAAGAGGGGCATACGCTGGTTGAAGAAGATTTGGATTTCGCCAACAATGGTGATTTATGTCTAGTGTCCTTTTGCATAAACTCGAAGATCTACAGGTGAAAACTAACAAGTTGGTAGAAGAGGCGAAGCAGCGAGGACGGGACTTCAAGTGAATATAGAGAAGGCAGAGTGGATGAAGATATCCAACCAACAATAACAAAAACACCATTAATCACCAACTACCATCAAAGGGAGAAATGTAAACGAAGTTGTCTCTTTCATCTACACCTACCTAGACAGCATCGTCTCAACTGCAAGCGGCACAGGCGCAGATGAGGGTGTCAAAGCCACGATCGGAAAGACAGCAAGAAAGGCTTTCCTTCATTAGTCTGAAATCAGTGTCGAGATCTACTCCACTGCATTCCACTTAGCATAAAGCGTGAACAACATCCCGATTTTCAATACCAACGTCAGTCAAGTCAGTCCTTCTATATGGTTCAGAAACTTAGCGCATTTCCAATAAACTACAGACACTCATCAACAGCTGCCAACTACGCTCCATACTGAAGATCAGATGGCCAGAATAATAAGAATAAGCAACAAGGAACTTTGGGAGCCAACCAACCAACAACCTATTACCCAACAAATACGCAGAAGAAGAAAGTCGAGATGGATTGGATTGGACATACACTGAGAAGGCCGATTAGGGACATCGCGCCCCAGGCCATGCTCTCGAGTAGAATCCAAAGGGAAACGAGAGTTGGACATCCGGGGCAAGAGTGACATGGACGAGATGATGTGAGGAAGAAATGAAAGCTTGTAGGCAGTCGTGGAGCTAGGTTTAAAAGACTGCAGAGAACAGAGTGGAATGGAGATGTGGTACTGAAGTCCTATGTTCCACTGGGAATTCAAGGGATAAATAAATAATACTAAATAATCGGATACAAGTTCAATACCGTTAGCACAGAAATCGACTGTCATCAAACTAAAAAAAATTTATATATAAGTTTAAATGTAAAATGAAGCGAAAAAAGAGTGTGACTCATGTTTATGTTATATATTAGGCTATATGTAGGAGAGATTATGATCCTACCTAGTCGCTTAAGTCAGTGTAGGTGGAACGGGTTTCAAATCCAGGACCCATTACTCGAAGGTTGAGTGAGAGCGGTCAACATATCTCAGTCACCCACACCATGGAAGGTAACTTCTTCAGGTACTTGAGAAAGAATAGTAAGTGTATGACTGCAGGACATGTGATTGAAGCCGATCACACATGGCCTTTTTACACGTTTTTTTCTTTTAGAATCCCACTGTGAATCCATATCACCAGCACCCATATGTCATGCAATAGAGGGAAGTATGGTATTTTTAGAGTCGGCATTTTCCATCCACATTTTTCAAATGGCACTGTTGGTCACTCCTGGGAAACACCTTACTAGTGTCATACCCTTTCTAATCCGGAGTACAACTTCACCTTCAACCTCACAGTTTACACTATAGCTGAAATGATCAAAAAGACTTGTAACTCAAGATGTGGATAACAATAGTCTGATATTCCTTGGATTTTTATGTATTCTCATGGATATTTCATCGTCAAGTTGATATCACGGATGAGCCTAAAGAAGAAAATATTATGAGTATTGACAAAACATACTATCAAAACACATTTTATATGAAAAACTTGTTGTATAACGAGAAACCTTTGATTGTTTTTCAGTCATATAGAGAGATGATATGTGTAGACTGACCTAGCTGGGGTCTTCAAAACGACAGGAATTAATACTTAGGGGCTATTTGTACTATGTCACAGATGTGTATTCTTTGTAATTTTAAGCAATTTCAATAAGTGTTTAAGTGTTATTGCTTGTATTACACTGTCGTTCATTGAACCGAATTAATCAGTCTCTGTTGGCATATGGGCTCCTGTACGCATGCCTCGATATTGCCTGTGTTTCAATTACGTTTAGTCATGATGGGCATTGTCTGGCAGTGGAATCTAGGATGCGCATTTCGTCCTATTTGGGACTCATCAACTGGATGTGCCTGCTTCCCAGTGAGTGATATTGTTCTCACCGGGATTCGAACTCGGGAGCGATCCTTTCAAACGCAAGAGCATTATCCACTACACCACCGAGCCATGATAGCCACTTCCTGTGCTATGGGTATAGTTTTAGTGTTATTACTAGTATTCCACCGTCACGTTTGAAGCGATTGCTCCCAAGTCTGAATCCCGGTGAGAACAACATCACTCACTGGAAGGCAGATACATCCAGCTGACGAGTCTCAAATAGGACGAAATACGAACCCTGGACTCCAATGCCCATCATTATCTATGCTCTCTTCTTTGACATATTGTTCTTCTTTTATGAACGTTTTCTTTGATTCTATTGTATTGATACAATTCAGTGCCAATTTCTACGTTGATCTATCTTCCAATAAAAAAAAAAAAACATAACCCATTTTGATTGGAAATACTATGATGAGAATTTTACAATCTAATCAATCATGATTATTGAATAAAGTAACAACATAGATGATAGATACTTACATTCATTTGGTTAATAGGATTTCTTGAAGAAATCCAATTCTTTAATGATATATCACGTATACACCAAATAGCTTGATCTGTAATTAATGCTATAACACCACATAATTGTACAGGGAGTATATACAGAATTGATTCAAATGAATTGAATGAGAAATGAAATTGATGAATAACAGATGATAGCATATAAGCTTGTACTAAACGACTGATAGTATATGATGATAAGTTAAGACTAGATAATTTGTTACTGGTTAATACTGTATTCATATTAGGTGTATAATCATTCTTCTTCTTATTATTATCATTGACTTGAATTTCATCATCAATTTCAAATGATTTTGTTATAGGATTTAAAATAACATTCAAAGATGATGCATAAGAATACTTTTGTAATGAATAACGTTTAACTGTAGTGAACAATGAAATATAATGCATTTGAAGTTGAGCTACAGCTTCATCTAGATTATAAACAGTTAATGGTTGAAAAAAATGCTTAGATAATCCAGCACGACGTGGTCTACATCTTCGTGGACGATGTAGATTAGATGGACAGGCTGCTTCACTAATAGAACTCATCATACCTGAAACAAGATCTAAGATACCACCGACTGGTTTAGTCACTGTTCCAAGTAATCCACGACCAATACCATAAACAAAACCCTGAAAATGAAGAAAAATGAAAAAAAAAGTTAATTATGTCAAAGCCCCCTTTTTACTATGTAACTTACTAGGAAGTAAGGTGATTAACTGCTTACTTCAAATCTGAATTGAATTAATCTAGTGCCAAACCATCCAGTCCAGGATACCTTCAAACTTAATCTAGTGCTCATTGGTGACTAGCTTCGAGAGATAATTCTCAAAATTCGATTGAAAAGTAATCACCGGTGGGATAAACCAAGATGGACATGAGAATAGTTACTCAACAACGTCACTAGATGAAGGTCGTGCTGTATCATGAACTGACAAAAGTAGGAAACTATGGACCATTGGATTTCAACCCAGTGGCTCAATAGTAACGTGCCTACTACAGAACTTGGAGGTCCTGGGTTCGATCCCCGCTGAGGAGTCCTATACTAGCATGAAACAGTTTTACAGTGCTCCCAGGTTTCCAATGTTTCTCCAACTCATTTCAGTTCATGATGAATATCAACCTGAGATCACCGGACATTGTAATTACACGAAGTGAGGATGTAAATAGATAAGGTAGAAAGCACATAATTTTCTCTCCTCTTTCAAGGTCACCCACAAGATCACTCAATCAATACTTATGCATTCAACACAGAAGGAACGAAAACTGAACTAAGTATTTCCTAGGGCGATAAACCTACTCAAATATTAACCAGAGATCCTACTACATTGTTACTTATTATCAGATATTTCTTAGAAGATTAAAACTTATATCAGTTGAAAAGTGGGAAGCATGAATCTCAAAAATTGTTCTAATGTACAAGGTTACACGGGAAGGTTGAATTGCATGACTCATAGTGTGGGTGTATTGAGCATACGAGACTGACTGACCAATCAAGTACAAGGTCAACGTTTAGACTGAATCAGCAGAATCATGTGCTTTAGACAAAGCGATAACATGTAGAAAATATCTCATGCCAATGAATCTATGTGGAAATGTTCAAATTTATATATCTATAGACTATGAGATACAAAGCATAAAAATGTGGAAGTACAAGACGTGTCTTCTTGAGACAAAACACAAATGACAAGATTTGAATCGATGATGATGTAATAGTAAAAACAAATAGCATTGTAATAAGGCTCGTACTATGTTAAAATATGAGTTTGGTTCATAGCTCAACACATCATGTGTATGAGCTGGTGAGAAGTCCTAAACTAGGACGAAATAGCTGTCCAGTACTCTCAAATTTCCAATAATTCGCCAAATAATGCTAATCCCGTGGGCAAAACTATTTTGAAATATAGTAATCAGTCATAATGATGCAAATAACGGTAAAATATAAAGAATTATTGAAAACCCGGTAGTATTGGACAAGTGTTTCGTGACACCATGGGACTCCTCAGGAGTACACACCTACGATCTTTAGGTCTTACGGCGAACACGTTAATCACCTAGTCACTGGGTAGGAGTTCAGCGGCTCACAGTCCTCCACTTCTGTCAGCTGGCGATATAGCGCGACTATCCATCAAGATCTTCAGTTATTATTATTATTATTATGAGGGGAAAGTGGTCGAACCAAGCAACAACTGAATGATATACATCATCTAAGACTCACGTAGGAGAAATAAATCTAAAAATAGCTGGTGACTTTTGAAAGTTGTTGGTTAAGCTCAATCATTAGCGGTATTTCGGACACGGTTCATATATATATATATATATATATATATATATATATATATATATATATATATAACATTAAACCAACCATGTAGATTTGCCCGACAGAACTATTAACTAAATATTCCCTAACCAAAGGGGAGATAAGGGATCTACAAACATATTCCGGATACAAAGGACTAGAATTATTAGCTCGAATTCTCACGGCTTCTGGTATGTGTTGTGAAAGATGAGTTCAAATACCTTTTAAAAAATGAGGTGGTATGCAGTGAATAATCGTGAAGAGATTGTTTTTATCTACCAAGCGACCACTATCAACGAGATGAGAGAAAACGGAACTTCTGATGAATTTCATCTGTCCTTTTTCCAACTATGAAGGCAGATTCTCAGCAACACGTGTTCGACCACCGTTGCCTTCGCAGTATAGGACGTATTCCGTGGTGAGTAATGCAAAAGTCAGGTATAGAGTTTTAGGGAGTAGAGGTAAATCAGTGGACGAGGTTATGAACCTTCATCGACTGAGATGGTTGGGACACGTACTACGTATGCCTAGTCACCGATTACCTCGTTACACAATGTTAGCGAAAGTAGGTCCGGGCTGGAAAAAGGCCTGAGGCTCCCAGACTAAAATATGGCATCAATGTATAAAGTGTCTGACTGTTGGTTTGAGCCATGTGGGGTGATGCAGACTAGATGGTTGGGGTCCGCGGGACACGAGAAACCAATGGCTGGGGATATGGTTCAGAACCGATGTCAGTGGCGCAGATGTATACATACATTATCCTCATCTTAACACTATACCGAATCTCACCATTTTCTCATTCTTCCTTTCTTTCTCCTCGTACTTTATATTTCTTTTGACTGAACTTTTTTATTTTCATCTTGCGCCTCACTGCCTTTTTACTTGATGTACTGATACGAGGTGTGGCAACTCGGACCGTTACGCAGTAATTCCTAGTCCTATGTTCATATTGATGATGATGATGATGACTAGTACTGCGCCTTATGTAGCTTCCCTTTTAGGAGCAACTAAACTTGTAAATACAGATAGAAATGACAAAACTAGATACCTTATCTTTTGTCTGAGCAAGAACAATTGGTCGACTTAAAAAATCCATCAGAAGTTCAGTTTTCTCTCATCTCGTTGATAGTGATCGCTTGGTAGATAAAAACAATCCCTTCACGATTATTCACTGCATATCACCTCATTTTTTAAAAGGTATTTGAACTCGTCTTTCACAACACATACCAGAAGCTGTGAGAATTCGAGCTAATAATCCTAGTCCTTTTGTATCCGGAATACGTTTGTACATCCCTTATCTCTCCCTTGGCCAAGGAGTACTTAGTTAATAAATTTATCATTCAGTTTTTTCCCTATCCTTTTCTTATGTTTCACCCAGTTCATATACTTGATGTATCTGTCCAGACACTTTCAGGCTGCTTCTTTGGTTCTTACCATCATTATCATCATCTATATTGCATATGCTTTAGTCAACGTTATCATTTTTATCACTTGTAGTATTATCATTTTTAACTATTTGAGATAGACGTGGTTTGGTAGATTAGTATTTGTATTGGGTGATGATTGAAGGTGAAATAAAAAAATTTGGACCACCGTGGAATTCGAACTAGTGACCATCAGGTTCATAACCCGATGCTCTATTATTATCATCAGCATCATGCCAGAAACCTGGTGGTCGATGGTTGGAATCTAGCCACCGTCGAAATTTTTATCTCACCTACAATCATTATACCCAGTATAAATTTGTATTATTATCACCATCGTTATTGTTAGAAAACTTATCACACTAACCGATAAATCTACATGATTGGTTATTTATATTAGAGTAAAACCTGAAGAGGATCTAACTGAAAATAATATTGTTTGTTTATATGTCTTGTTCTAAGTACCAATCTATTGATATAGTCTTCCTTGTAGTAGGTTAAAGTGGATTGAGAAAAAAAAAAGATGAAGTAGAAAAACTCACTTTCAAATGATCTTCTTTTGCACCACGATAAGGTTGAGTGACAATTGATGTCATACCTCCAACAATACCATGCATAAGACCACGAATACCAGCATTCAATGGTGCTGTAACAGACCGATTTGTATCGAATGTCTGTTGAACTTTTTTCTCGTTTTGTTGATGTAATAATGTTGACGATGATGATGATGATGAGGAGGAGGAGGAAGAGGAGGGGATGGGGATAATATCGTATCAGATTTAAGCATTTTCGGCTGCATATTCAAATAGATATCACGACAAGTTAATTCAAAATCATCAAGAGATTCATCCATATTATTATTATTATTATTATCATTATCATTATTGTTATTAGACGAATAATTCAACGATAATTCCTTTTCATTACAATTAGTAGGATATATAGAATGTGATGAATGGAGTAATGATGAAGTTTCTGCACGACTGCCAAGTATAACTGCACGTTCTTGTTGATGTTTATCATCTAATGACATAGCATTTAGTAATTGTGATACACTTCCAGCAACCTGAAAATCATTAAATAAAGCCATATTTACAGTATTTACAAAATATAACACAACAAACCTTATTAAACACAATACAATAATGTATTTTTGATATGAATTCAGATTTTTTTAATCTACAGGTAGTATTCATCACTGATTGTCATCACAGTTGGGAGGCATTGAAAATCTGAGAGTACAAGACAGCTGTTTCATCCTAGTATGAAACTCTTCAGCAGTACTCACTCACGACTCGGCTAAAGATCAAACTAAGAACCTTTAGGTTTCACGATGAAACGGCTACATAGGTTTTCAACAGTTCCTCAACTAGTGTCAGTCCATGGTGAGCACTACCTATAAATTAAAATCCCTATTCATTTCAAAAATACATTACTGTATAGTGTTCATTAGTGACATGCTTCCAGATGGATATCACAAAGGTCAAATGAGAAGCAGTGACCTATAGGGTCAACAAGTTGGAAGGGAAGCAGATGCCAACAGAAGTTGGAAACTGTGAACCCCTTAACCCGACCCAGTGGCTGAATGGTTGACGCGTTCACCGTGAAATATGAAGGCCCTGAGTTTGATCCTCAGCCGAATCGTGGGTGCGTACTGCTGAGGAGTTCCATACTAGGACAGGACAGCTGTCCAGTGCTCCCAGGTTCTCAACGGTTCTCCAACTGTGATGTCAGTCCGTGATGAATAACAGTGATACTGTAGAAAACGACAAGACAGAGACAAAGGAAGAAATATTTATTGTTGACATCTTGTATAGTAGTTATCAAATATTGTACACCTTCCACAAAGACAGTTATTTGCATAGTGAGCTTCATTTCCTCTTTTGCATCTACTTTGATTTACTCTAAATACACCCGTATTGTCTCTTGCGTTTCTCTGCGTAGAATATTTACTCATTGCTGGTAATTCTCTATGATTTCTGCTGCCTTATCAACACATACTACTTATATCCGTTCTGGCCCATCACAATACTACTATATGTCTGCCAAAACTTCAGCAGGGCTCGAACTCATGACCCATATAGTTCAAATTCAACTCCCTAAGCCAGTGAGTCACTACTTCAACGTGATAAATATGAAATATGGGTTAAGAATTGCATTCTATACATTAATTTATCTGACTACAAGTTCATTACTTGTATTACCAGAGTTGACTACTTCATTATTATTATTCCCTTGGGTTCCTAGTGGAACAAAGGACTTCAGTAGCACGCCTACATTACACTCTCTTCTCTACAGTATTTTCAACCTGGCTACACCACTACTCACATGATCTCCATGTCAACCTCGCCTCAGACGCCAAACTCGTCGTTTCCCCTCCAGGTTCCACTCGACGGTCTGGCCTGGCACGTAATACCCCCAAACGGTCTCCTTAGTGTATGTCCAATCCAATCCAATCCAATACATTTCCACTTTCTTCCTCTGCATATTTGTTCAGTGACAGGTTCTTGGTTGGTTCATTGCCAGTCAGGCAGACTTCCTTGTTACTTATTCTTATTATTCTGGATATCTCATCGATCTTCAGTATCGAGCCAACGTATGCAACAGCTGTTGATCAATGTCTGTAGTTTGTTGAAAATGCATTTCGTAACGCGTCAAGTTTTCGAACCATCATATGGAAGTACTGACTTACTTGAATGAGATTAGTGCTGAAAATCTGGATCTTGTTCTTTGTGCTGAGTGAAGTAGATCTTCACACTGATTTCAGGTTAATGAAAACTTGTCTTGCTTTTCCCATCCTATTTTTGACATCCTCGTCTGTGTTTGTGCCATCTGTACTTGAAACGATGTTGCCTAGGAGACCACTTCGTTTAGATTTCTCCCATTAATGGTGATTGGTGTTTGTTGTTAATGCTATCAACTGAACTTAATGAATCAATTAAACTTTCCTCATCAGAGATGAATGTCTTATTCACAATGTTATTAGAGAATCAGTACAGAAGAGAAGAAGAGAAAACAAAAGTCAACAACAGGAGTCATTGAGGAAGATAAGTAGAGGAAGACAGTAGTATTACCATAGCAACAAAGTACATCGGAGACTATTAGAAGAGACTTTAGAAAGGCTGATAAATAAATAAATTGAACCAACTAAAGGATCAAGTTGAAAAATAAGAGAATAATGAATGTGATGTATAAAAATATGTAGGAGATAGTCAAAATGATAATCAGTATGATGCTTTTCTCTCTGATTCAGTTTGATTTCGACTTAGATGAGAAGTCTTGACTAGGCAGCCAACATGAGTACGATCAAGCGGTAGTAAACTGTCACGAATTCACATGGCAGTTGTTAAAAACCCCTGGTGGTTGAAATGATCGAATGAAAATCTGGTAGGCAGTTGGACCCCACAGCTCAGTTGGTAGAGTATGGCGTCGGAAACACTATTACTATTTATTGGTATACTTGTATTTCTCCATTGTTTTATTGGATCGAATTGTTCGACCACTACATTCAGCTGACGAGTCCCAAGTAGGACAAAACGCAGGTCCTGAATTCCTCTGCTAGCTACAACCCACCAAACCACCACAATTAACACCCAGGTAATATCGAGGCATCCGTATGGGAGCCCATATGCCAGTGGAGGTCGAACAATTCGATTCAGTATAACAGCGGAGAATTACAAGTACATCAATAAATAGTAATAACTACTACCTATTGTACAAGAAGTGGCTATCGTTCCTCCATAGCATAGTGGATAACGCCTTGGCGTTTGAAGCGATGAGTATGAGGTTCGAGTCTCAGTGGGAGCAACATCGCTGACGAGTCCCAAATGGGACGAAACGCGCATCCTGGATTTATTCCTCTGCTAGCCACAATCAAGACTTACTTATATAATGATATAAATATTTACATTAGAATATTCAGAGTTGAAAAACTAAACGTAAACAAGCAACAATAGACAGTTAACTCACTTTCGCTGCGCTATCTCCAACACCATGTGCTACATGTCGAATTAATCCACCAACATCTAATTCTACTAGACCAGAGATACCTGAACTTAAATCATTAATTAAACCAATAGGATTGCCAAGGAAATCAACTGATCCAAATATATTCAATGCATGTGCACGAAATTGTAGTCGATAGTATGTATCAAGGTAATTTATCATCTGTGGAATAGTTTCCAACACATATAAACGTTCTACTAAATCTAAAATGAAAAAAAAAGATAAACCAAAGTGTACAGATCATAAATAGATTACAAAGTGTTAATATCCAATCAAAATGTTTACTCTAATGTAATTTTCAGTTTACTATTGTCGTTGAGTTTTTTTTTTACCAGCTAATTAATTATACATAATAAGACTAGTTCCTCATATAATGTAGGGACTAAACCAACAGTTTCCTCCTACAGGGTTATTTGAGACCCGATTATCGATTTTTGAAGTCTATAAAGTCGATGGGTTGATTTACGCAAGTAAATTGGATGAAATTAGAAATTCATCTTCTTGAAGGGACTCGCTTAGTGAGTTTAAACAATCTTCTATTTTCAAGGTAGTAGGGATGTTGGTTGGATTGTTACTCATATAGTCATCTCAAGGTGTTCGTTAATTCTGCGAGGTCTTGTATGGCATAACTTATGGTTTGATAGCTGTACATATGTATATAATGTTAAGGAGTGAAGTTGTGGAATGTGTTGACCACTTTGCTTACTTACGAAGTTGCATTAGTTCGAAAGTCTGTTTTGTATTTTATAACTTGGGTCACCTGTGCCACCGATTAGGGAGAAATCCAACTGTTTATCAAAGGATGAGTGTGTTGTGCTGAAATCAGCTCTTACCTATTATACGAGCTGTCAGTCATGGCCGTTCAAACTAGAAGACGTGAAGTGGTGCCTTTGCAGCATTGCTCATATTTGGTTGGATCATCATGTGAGCAATGTTGAGGTCAGGCGAAGGGTTCTCGGCAAAACCTTGGCGGAAGTCGGAAACTGTGAATCAGTGGGAACCGACCCAGTGGTTGGATGGTTGACGCGTTCGTCGTGAAACCTGAAGGTCCTGAGTTCGATCCCTAGCCGGGTCGTGGGTGCGTACTGGTGAGGAGTCCCGTACTAGGACGAAACAGCTGTCTAGTGCTCCCAGATTTCTAATGGTTCCCCAATTGATATCAGTCCATGATGAATACTACTTCTAAATTAAAAATCCCTATTCATCTAAAAAAAACAAGTAAGTTGGTCAAAGGGGTTGTGAACCTTAATGGACTGCGAATACTGTTACCGCCTACCTCAACTTGCCATGCTAGGTGAAGCTGGATTAGGTCGGAAGCGGGTTCAGAGTGGCTAAACAAAGACATTATATAAGCGCATATGGTCCCCAACTGTTGGTCTCAGTCATGTAGGGAGATATAGACTACCTGACTTGAGCCCCCGATACCATAGGAATGAATGTTTAAGGACTCTTAGTGACGTGGCTCAAAATCAGTCAGAGTAGTGCAAATGCATTCACTCCCTGATAACTAAAGTTTGAATTTTTGTACTAGCCTTCATCTTCAAATTGTTTATTCTCTCATACAACTTTGTCTACTTTGATATCAATCTTCCTCTATCTACCTGTTCTTTGTATACTATTGTGAAATGTGGAAACTTGAACTAATGCACCTGCATGCGATGTTCTTCGTTGATTTTATCTCCGTCTTTCTATCATAAGAATGATACAGCTTTTTGCATCAAACCAATAAATGTGAATGAATAAAAGTATAAGAAAGTTATGCACAATTCACTTGTTCACAAAATAAATACAATGAATAGGCTAGAAATCGAAGGAGCTGAAAAGGATCGCACTGTTCGCATTTCTGGTCACATTGTAAAATGTCGATAACACAGCAGCTGTTTACGTTGAGAGATATTACAAACAGTTGACAGGAATTTCGTGTACTTTCTGTTTCCACATGGAACTTATATATATATATATATATATATATATATATATATATATATATATATATATATATATATATATATCATTTGTCCCTTGGGTTCCTAATGTAACATAGGGCTTCACTAGCATGTCTCTAATGAGCTCTCTTCTCTGAAATCTTTTGAACCTGGCTCCACAACAGCCCACAAGCTCTCATTTCTTCCTCGCACGATCTCCTCTATATCACCCTCAGCTGGGACGCTCCACTCGACGGCCTGGCCTGACGCGTGATGTCTCCACTCGGCCTTCTCAGTGTATGCACAATCCATCTCCACTTCCTTCCACTGCATATTTGTTGAGTGATAGGTTCTTGCTTTGTTGCTTCGTTGCCAGGCCAGAGTTCCTTGTTACTTATTCTTATTATTCTGGCCATCTGATCTTCAGTAACGAGCCAGCGTAGGTGGCAGTTGTTGATGGATGTCTGTAGTTTGTTGGAAATGCCTTTCGTAATGGGCCAAGTCTCTGAACCATACAGAAGCATTGACTTCACGTTGATGTTGGTGTTGAAAATCCGGATGTTGTTCACACTTTATGCTGAGTGTAGTGCAGTACAGAAGATCTCCACACTGGTTTCAGGTTAATCAACGCCTGTCTTGTTGTCTTTCCAATCCTGACTGGCTTTGACGTCCTCATCTGTGCCTGTGCCGCCTGTAGTTGAAACAGTGCTGCCTAGATAGGTGAAGGAGGCTACCTCCTTTAAGTTTCTCCTATTGACGGTGGTTGGAACTCGTTGTTGTTGGTTGCGTATCTTTATCACCTCTGTCTTCTCTACATTCACTTGAATTCTCGTCTTCGCTGCCTGACCTCTTCTGTCAACCTGTTAGTTTTCGCCTGTAGATCTTCAAGTGTGTGACATTAGACATAAGTCATCGAAGAAATCCAAATCCTCTAGGTTTTTTTCTGCGGTCCGGCGTATCCCCCTCTTCTCGCTCTTCACTGTTTGTTGCGTGATCCAGTCGACCACAATTAGGAAAAAATAGGATAGGATAGGCAAGGTGATCTTTTAATTTAAATAGGCACCAGAAAACCATCTCGTAAACGTATAGTGCAGTGGGTAGTAGGTACTGATAAGAACGGATATAAGTAGTATATGTTTAGAAGTCGGTAGAAATCATAATCAATTAGCAAAGATGGGTAATTATTCTGCCCAGAGAAACTCAAGGGATAAAATGTGGGCATATTAAGAGCAAGTCAAGATAGAAGCAGAAGAAGAAGAAGCAGAAATAAAACATATTGCGTGAATGACTATTTTAATGGAAAGTGTACTGTACAAAATATCATAATAAACATTCTATCCTATATCTCAGTCTTTGTTATTCCTTACAATACTGGTGTACACAGAAAAAAGAGAATACTTTCGAATTTGAAATGTAACCATAGTACAATAGATGATATTTTAAAGCGGAATTTGATGAAGGATATCAAGAGAGTAAATATTCTATGTTACATCACTACAAATCCACTTATATTGATCATTTAACAATGAATACATATTACTGGTTAACTCAATGTCCATATATAAGATCACTTGTATTGATATAACGCCAAACGTATAGGTGGTAATCTACAAGTAGATTATTCATTGTAGATACAAACATTAAGTTTAAATCAGTCAAAACATTCATTCTATAACATTCAATTACCAGAGAAAATACAATTTCATAAGATTCATTTCATGTAGTTTACAGAATTCAGAAGAAATTGCCAGAAAAGAAAGCTGTATTATTATTATATCATTTTTCCTTGGAACAAAGGACTTCAGTAGCACGCCTACATTACACTCTCTTTTCAACCTGGCTCCACCACTACTCACAACCTTTCATTTCTTCCTCACATGATCTCCATCTCAACCTTGCCTCAGACGCCAAACTCGTCGTTTCCCCTCCAGGTTCCACTCGACGGTCTGGCCTGGCACGTAATACCCCCAAACGGTCTCCTTAGTGTATGTCCAATCCAATCCAATCCAATACATTTCCACTTTCTTCCTCTGCATATTTGTTCAGCGATAGGTTCTTGGTTGGTTCATTGCCAGTCAGGCAGATTTCCTTGTTGCTTATTCTTATTATTCTGGATATCTCATCGATCTTCAGTATCGAGCCAACGTATGCAACAGCTGTTGATCAATGTCTGTGGTTTGTTGAAAATGCATTTCGTAACGCGTCAAGTTTTTGAACCATCATATGGAAGTACTGACTTACTTGAATGAGATTAGTGCTGAAAATCTGGATCTTGTTCTTTGTGCTGAGTGAAGTAGATCTTCACACTGATTTCAGGTTAATGAAAGCCTATCTAGACTTGTATTTCCTAAAGCAAGTTTTCTATTCACTTTTTAACATTGTTAATATATATATATATATATATATATATATATATATATATATATATATATATATATATATATGGAGAGAGAGAGAGAGAGAGAGAGAGAGAAACAAACAGACAGATGGATAGACAGACAAATCAACTTAGAGCCTTGGAGACAAGTTCATTCGTTCAAGTTTCCCCACGTCACAGCAATATACAAAGAAAAAGACTGATCAAAGTAGAGAAAGGTATATGAGAAAGTAGCAACAGTGCGAAAATTCCCATTTAGCCATTTAGTAAAACAAACAATGTGAGCGAAGAAATATTTCTTTTCAATTAGTTCGTCATCAATGGCTCCACACTAATATATGTAGCATTTTCAAAACGTAAAATTACATACTAATCTAGTGGTGAGAGTTGTTTAATGAAAGGTTATCAATCTCAAAGTAGCAAGAAGGTGAATTTTGACGTTGTGGGGATTTGGAAAAATTTCAAGTTGTTATTCATCGTAGACGAAACAGCTGTCCAATGCTCCGAGGTTTCCTTTGTTCCTCCAACTGATGTCAGTTTACGATGAATAACAACTTGAAATATCAAGAAGGTGATAATTGATCAGGTAATTAAGATAATTAACTAAACCATAGATTAATTATAGTAGAAAGATTTTGTGAAATTTTAAACAGGTTCTTACATATATAGTAATGAAACATAGGCAATATCGAGGCATCCGCACAGGAGCCCATAAGCCAACAGAGACTAATCAATTCGGTCCAATGAACGACGGTGTAATACAAGCAATAACAAGAGCGAAAATGAACTGTTACGTAAAATGGTAAATTGTTGAAGGTAATTAAAGACAGTAGGGGGAGAGAAAGATGGTTAAGTCTGTAATAATAATGATAATAATAATAATAATAATAATAATAATAATAATGGAGCTATTGAAATATTAGTTATAGTGAATTGTGTGGTGGATGAAATGAAGAGTCTTGTTGTAATAAATGAGCTATACAGATGGCCAAAGCAAAGAAAGAGGCTGTACGAATCTCTTCTGAACACACAGACTTGGCTAGTTTAGGTGGATTCCTATGCCTTCTGCTGTACGTAAAAGACGAACTCGTAGAGCATGGGTGAGGTTAGAAAGAATGTGATAAATAACTTTAAAGGCATTATGAATGTTTACTCGGTGGCCGGTGTCAATCAGGTGAGAGAGTATTGAGCTTCGTATCGATCTGGTTTGCCACCATCAGGGATTATAATTTTACAAAACAAGCTGACCTTAGTTTTGTTGAAATGCAAATGTATAGGCTTTGAGAATGAAATCTTAATCATGCCATGTTTCATAAATTTCTAGAATACTCATTCACGACAGACATATACACAAACAAACAAGATAAACATAGACCCTCACACACAAGGGTATCCCTCCAAGTTGCCATATCTCATAGTAGTAAACAGAGAACAAGTGGACAGAAAAAGTAATATGAGAGAAAAAATAATTTGAAAATTAAGTTTAGCGCAAATATTTAAGCTTTAGAAGACGTCAAAGAGTGAATATATCTGCGCCATTGTGACTAATTTTCAGCTACGTCACCAAGAGCCCTCAATCACTGATGCTTATCACCTCGACGACCCAAGCCAGCTAGTCTACACCTTCATACACTGCTCAGACCAACAGATGAGGATCATATACACTAGTGTCATGTTATTGTTTAGCCATTCTGAACCCGCTTCCGACCTAGTCCAGCTTCCTATAGAATAGGACATTGAGGTAGGCGGTGACTCGGTATGCACAACACATGTCCAAGCATATTCATTCAAATCTTGTAAAAATGCGCAATCAGTATCACTAACAACCTTTAGTTAAACTCAATTATCGCTATTTCCTTCTGCATCGAATATCCTCTTACCAGTAATAAAGCTATTTAGGAAGTATATTCTAATGAACAGTTACCAAATCAATAGTCGAAACTCTGGTATCCTTAAACACGTACAGATTCTGTACTTAGAATTAATTTTAGTAGTTCTTGCAGTTTAGCAGATGTATATGTAACATTACGTTCTAGGAACAAACTCGGTTGACTTCCTTGCGTTATATTCACTTTTGTCCTCTCTTCTTTCCGTTCACCGCTCAGAACCATCTAACCGCTTGTTAACAGCCAAATGAGATTAGATATAGTTCTTGTAGTAGACTTTCTGCAGATTTTGAATGACTAGTTGAATATTATGAACAAGTTCCTCATCTGTCGAATACAAATCATAGCTTCAAAATTGGTCTGCACCAATACTTTGTACAGAGAAATGAATGAATGAGTTCATCGTTTCATTTTAGCTGAGAAGTTGTACCAATCCATTAATAATTTTTGACATCAGTGTAATTTCATGAGACAAAAAAGTACTGAAATGATTCTATTCACACACAAAAGGTTTTAGGGAATGTACAGGGAAAATTTTGAATAAAAAAAAGATAAATGATAAACCTGTTAGGCAAATTACAACACAAATATGTTTACCAACTAAGCGATTCTTCTTCCCCATCACATATGCATCAAATATCCCCTATTTGACTGATGAAATTCAGTCTTCATGCATATAACTTTATACAGAGGGTAAACTGAATTGCCTATCCTTAGAAATGAGAGATTGTACACGATCCAACATTCATAAATAACTTGTATCATCATGAAAAATATATAAGTACCAAGTAGTAAAACATATATGAGATATATAAACTTACCCAATTGTATTTCTGCACCTGTGAAACTCATTAGTGATGGTAATAAACGCTTAGCTCCCTCTAAGTGAGAATCAGTCAATGATGTCTTAGCTGTCTGTACACTTAATTTCATTTTGATAGGACTTATAAAGAATTGATCAAACCAAAATAGTTTACTTTCAGTTTCATCATTACACGAGATAGCTTTTAGTCTTCTAAAAGTCAGAAAAAAAAACATATACAAAATTAATAAAATTGATCTAGAAAGTCAAAAAGTATGAACTATTTGGATTCGAACCAGCGACTACAGGGTTTCTGGCCCAATGTTATACCAACTGAACTATGAGGTCCGACTATTGATCAGATGTTTATTCCACTTCAATGACTAACGGTCCTACTCGACTGTCATATGGATTCGCAACCCATTACTATCGCTTGGTCGTACTCACGCTGGCTTAAATTCGGTCAGGATCCAAATTTTCATTTCAACTTCAATCATCACTCAGTATGGATACTAATCTGCCAAACCATGGCTATCTCAGATAGTCAAAAATGATAATTACTATTTTTTTGGTATGCTTTTACTTCTCCATCATTTAACTGGATTGAATTGTTCGACTTCTATTAGCATATGGGCTCGTATCCAGATGCCTCGATGTTGCCTGAATGTTTATGAAGATTATTTACTTGATTTTGGTTAGCGGAGGAATCCAAAACAGGCGTTTCGTCGTGTTTAGGACTCGTCAGCTTGATGTACCTGCAACCAATTGAGTGATATTGTTCCCATTGAGACTCGAACCTCGTAGTCATCACTTCAAACGCCGAAGAATTATCCACTGAGCCACTGAGGCACGATAGCCGTCTCTTTTACAACAGGTATTAGTTATAACTATTTGTTGATGTACTTGTAATTGTCAGTTATTTCACTGGATGGGATTACTCGACCTCAAGTAGGAACAACACTCAGACGTGTGAACATACATCCAGATGATGAGTCCAAAATGGGACGAAATGCGCGTCCTAGATTCCTCTGCTAGCCAAAATCAAAGTAAATTATTCTTGAACTCATAAAAACAATAAAGTGTAGGTACGTTTTAGTGTTTTTAGCAACAACTGATTCAAATACAATGAGAATCACATATTAAACAACATACATACACTTCGTTACACGATTGAGAAGAACAATCAAAGACTTGATAACCTGATCAGCATCGAAATAGAAGCTTAATTCAAAAAATTATTCAATCAGTTAACCGATCTACACCTTATGAACAATAACATGAAAAGTTGGTTCATAGCTAAATTAGTCAACACTACTAGAATACACCGATGCAGTGTGGAGATCTGCACTCAGCATATGGAACAAGATTCGGATTTTCAACATCAACATCAACCTGAAGTCAGTGCTTCTGTATGGCTCACAGACTTGGCTCATTACGAAAGGCATTTCCAACAAACTACAGACATCCATCAACAACTGCCACCTACGCTGGCTCGTTACTGAAGATCAGATGGCCAGAATAATAAGAATAAGTAACAAGGAATTCTGGGAATGAACCAACCAACAACCTATCGCTCAACAAATATGCGGTGGAAGGAAGTGGAGATGGATTGGGCATACACTGAGAAGGCCGATCTGGGACATCACGCGTCAGGCCAGGCCGTCGAGTGGAGCGTCCCAGCTGAGGGTGACATGGAGGAGATTGTGCGAGGAAGAAATGAGAGCTTGTAGTCTGTCGTGGCAACAGGTTCAAAAGATTTCAGAGAAGAGAGCTTATTGGAGACATGCTAGTGAAGCCCACCATATGTCACTAATTCCTCACTACAAAAACTTGTCGAAAGAATACAAGGGTGAAATAAAACACTTGACAAACATGTAGAACATGATGATATTACGGTCAGAAAAAAAAGTTGAAGCGTTGTAGTAATGAATAAGGATAATTTATATCTCAACTAGGCAGTTTATATGACATATAGATCAATAAAAAAAGATTTCATGCATTGGCATCGCGTTTTAATTTGCTCTTTCAACACAATTCTACTTTAAACTGACATCGTATATCAAAGTAAACAATGGTTAAGTATATGGAACATATAGTGAGTTAAATTTCTCAAATTCATTAACTAGCTAACGTTCCTTGCATTAACCTAATCATCATTAAGTTTTTTTGAGGGAGTTGTGGAGATTTGGAAATATTTCAAGTTGTTATTCATCGAAGACTGACATCAGTTGGAGGAACAAAAGAAACCTGGGAGCACTGGACAGCTGTTTCGTCCTAGTATGGGACTCCTCAGCAGTGCGCACCCACGACCCCACCAGCAGGGATCGAACCCGCGACCTTCAGGTTCCGCGGTCGAAGTTCCAATGACAAGTCGTGACCGGTGGAGTCAAAGCCTGATGGTCATGAGGACAGATACTCAACTAATCATCATTGTTTAAAAAATGATTCTATGAGATGAAATTCAATAATCTTATTCATAAAATAATTTAAGTAAGATACTATTTATATCATTAACATACTTATCTGAAATATTATTTCGATATGATATATCATTATTATTATATGAATCTTCTGAATAAATATTTAATTCATATATCTCTTCAAAAGCATGTTGATAGAATTGAATCAATTTAAGAAGGAGTAATTCTTCGATTTGTATATTCACTGGATTTATATCAATCTGTCATTCAATTAATGAATAAAGAAATAATAAATAAAAAGCATTCATTTAATATTGATTACAACAGTCAGAAAAATTAATATGTAATTCAAGTGACACTTCTACGACAGACATACTTACAAATGAAGTAGAACAGACAACAGATAAGAGAGACGTAGACAAAATTATATCAAATAACTAGATTACTATCTGGGAGGGAAGAGATCAACACAGATGAAACCAATGAAAGATAGTGAAGGAAATCTAGTTACCAAAGAAGAGAAACAAAGGAAATGATAGGCTAACCATTTCAAAAAAATCTTAAATAGAGCACCACCACCCCCCTGCAAGTCGTCCAGAAATACCACCAGTATCTCAGTCACAGAACTATCAGTAAACACAAACCCTCCGACAAAAGCAGAAGTGAAGTCCTCTACATCATAAAATTGCTGAAATACTGTAAAGCAAGAGAACCATATCGAATTCCTCCAGAAGCGCTAAAAACAGACGTACAGACAACGGACATGCTTACATCACTATTGCAGAAGGTTTGCAAGGAAGAAAAAGATGGCACCTGCAGATTGGAAAAAGAGCTACCTATCAAAATCCCAAACAACGCCGATCTAAGTCTTTGCAAGAACTGGCGAGGAATCATGCTCCTGTCCACTCGTAGCAAGCAAAATGTTAAGCCATATCATCCTGGAGAGACTAAAAAATGCCTTGCATTCGAAAATACGACCCAGAACGGGCTGGTTGGCATCAAGAAAAACAAATCATGTACGGATCAAATTACAACGCTACGCTACGCATCATCATAGAACAGAGCATAGGATGGCTATCAACTGGAGCTTTACCTCAACTTCATCGATGATATTCATGATTGTGTTGTGGTGGGCTGGATCATGTAACAAACTGTGAGGAGCGAGAAGCTGGGCATACGCTAGCTGAACCGATGAAAAGACTCCAGAAAATTTGGATTTCGCCGATGATGGTTTATGTCTAATGCCTTATGTCACACAAACTCGAAGATACACAGCCGAAAACTAACAAGTTGGCAGAGGAGGTGAGGCGAGGCGAGGCAGCGAAGACGGGACTTCCTTCACATGAATGTAGAGAACACAGGTGATGGAGGTACTCAACCAACAACAACATCAATCACCAATCAACATCAATGGGAGAAATGGAAAAGAAGTTGTCTCTTCCACCTACCTACATAGGCAGCATCGTTTCAACTACAGGCGGCGGCACATAACAGGATGTTAAAGCCACGATCGGGAAGACAGCAAGAAAGGCCTTCCTTCATTAATTTGAAATCAGTGTCGAGATCTACTCCACTCCACTCCACTCGGCATAAAGCGTGAACAACATCTCGATTTTCAACACGAATTGAGTCAAGTAACTCAGTGCTTCTATGTGATACTTCACAGACTTGGTGCGTTATGAAGGCATTTCCAACAAACTGTAGATGTCACCTACCCACCCTCACTACATACTGACACTGAAAATCACATGGCCACAATACAATAACAAGAATAAGCAACAACGAAGTCTGGCTGGCTGACTGGCTGCCAACGAACCAACCAACAACCTATCACACAACAAATAGGCACAAGAATAAAGTGAAGATGGATTGGATTGCACATACACTGAGAAGAAAGATGGTTCGGGGATATCACACACCAGGTCAAGCCAGATCGTCGAGTGGAACCCAAATGGGAAACGACGAATTGGGCGTCCGAGGCGAGGCTGATATGGAGGAGATCATGTGAGGAAGAAATGTAAGGTTGTGAGCAGTGGTGGAGCTAGGTTAAAAAGAATGTAGAGGAGAGAGTGAAATGGTGATGTGCTACTGAGGTCCTATGTTGTTACATAAGAACCCAAGGGACAAACAATAATAATAATAATAATAATAATAATAATAATAATTACCCGAAAAATTTTAAACAAATAAACAGGTAATTCATTTTGAACATCACGACAATACATAATCTTCAGTTTAGATAGATGTTTCAATTCATCACTTCTGTAATCCCCTTGTGATTGGTGATGTGTATTTTCGTTAGTTTCAATTTTCTCATCATTAGTTAACAGTCTTGTATTGACTTGAAATAAGAGTACTGGGAGAAGAGCACCGGCAAACTGGCTGTCAATCTACAAGATAAAGTGGAGATATAAAATTAATGAGGATGATGTTAGGTGGCAGGTAAGCAGATAAAAATTAGCATGAAAGAATAACTGAAGATCTTGAATAATAATCTAGATTATGATGTTGTTTGAATCATTCCTTTGTTGATTGGACTGAATTGATCCGTATCTATTGGGACGTGGGCTCCTGTGTGTATGCCTCAGAATTGTTTTTTTATTATTTCAATTTCAGTTTTAATAGAGACCGAACAATTTGGTCCAGTCACCGACGGTATAATGGGGGCAACATCATAAAAACTATGCCCATCGAACAAGAAGTGAGTATAATGACTCGATGGCCTAGTGGATAATGCCCTGGCATTTGAAGCGATCTGTCCTGAGTTCGAGTCTTAGGGGGGAACAACACTGCCTACTAGAAGGCAGCTACATCCAGCTGGTGAGTCCCGAATAGAGGTGTATTGCCAACATTCATTACATTTTCGGTTGAGATTCAGTAAAGTTACTCAAAATAAGATCCTTCTCCTGAGGCTCTGTGTTGTATGATATATGTAACCACAGAACTATTCGTATTCTGAAGAAGCACTATATGAACATTGTTGAAGTTCACTGCCATATATTTTAGGGTCGTAAATAATATAATCCTTCAATAAATTAATTCCCTCTGAGACATTAATTTCAATAGCTCTAACAGATTTTGTGCATGTTATCTAGAGGTTTTGATGCCGAGTATTATTTATTGATATGTAGAAAATGTAATGCGATTTCACCAATGACAAGAAGCGGCTGGAATAGAATTCAATATTTTAGGTCATCAAAGTCTAACACAGAAGTTTTCACATTTCCATTTTCGCTTTATGTCGCTGTGCGGTCAAGACAAACCTTATTGGACAATTTTATCCAACAGTTGACCAATCAAAATAAATTATTTAATTTTTCACTTAGTGGTTTTATATGTTCATGAAAACTATATATAAGTGATGCATTTTTGTTAAATAGTCTTCGTTCCACAGCGTTTGTGTTCTCCTTGTTAACACTTTCCAAATATTATCAAGTTACTTCGTGAGGTGTATTATTTTGTAGCTCTTCGAGCTAGTGTTGTCTTTTTTTTTTATACTTAAACTACAATTATTATATTGTAGTGGCTAGCAGTGGAATGCGCATTTTCGTCCTATTTGGGACTCGTCAGCTGGATGTACCTGCTTGTAATACAAGCAATAACACTATAATCATTATATTTTCTAATATTGATTCAAAGAGATGTGAAGGAAAACTCTAAAAATGTTACTGTTTAGAAAACATTTGAACAGTTACTTAGTCAATAGATTTGAAGGAGTTCATAGGAACCTTTGCTCATATAGCGTGTAAAGTGATACAATATTTGCTGTTTAACAAGTTATATGAAGCTCGGATGCTCTCCTTGTATGCCTCATGTGCATTGTGGAGCAGTAGCTGAGTAATTTAACCACTCAACTTTTAAATAATACTTTTCTTATTCAAAATCTTACCCCAGTAACTTCAACTTTGGTACTCAGGTTGTACAATAAGCCATCCCATACACAACGAATAGCTCATAGCCTAATGCATGCAACGGGTTGAATTTCATTATTATTTCCATAATGCCTTTTAATACAAACAGTAAGGAAACAGATATAATAACAGGTAACTCTATTTAACGATGACTGTCCTCAAGCTGGTCACGAATGAGACTTGATAGTTGTCGCAGCTGTTTGCAGATGAAGGAAGGGAAGATGCAGAAACTTACATAAATATATATTATCAGTTTAGTTATCTGATATAGTCATCGTTCGGCAGACTTGTATTATTGATACTGGATGATGACTGAATGTGAAGTGGAAATCTGAATTGCGTCAGGGTTCGAATCACCAACTTTCACATCAACGACTTGGTGCTCCACCAACTGAGCTACTAGACTTAGCTAGTGATACTGATTTAGCCTCAGTTACCCAGGGTTTTGTCCAACTGCCATATGAATTTATGATACATAACTGTAAGGTCAACATATTCTCATAGGCTTCCCGGCTACCTCAGATAGTCAAAGTGATAATCAATATGGTGCTCCCTTTTAGCAGCCAGTGTAAATATGTTGAACAGACGGTTACGTATCAAGAATTCATACGGGAATCAGGAAAGTACCTAGGTGACTAAAGTAAAATCAAGATCTCGTCATCAGTTGAGTCTCGTACCTCAATAGGTAGAGCACTGATCCGGTAACCTGGAGGTCACTGACTCGAACCCTGTAGTAATCCAGATTTTCGTTTCACCTTTAATCATTATAATGATAACTATCTTTAAGTTTATTAAAATTCTTAAATCATTTGACTTGAAAGTAGTATAAATAATAACAAAGTCATGTTACGATTTACTTAGTGGTGCTTAACAGTGGAATCAAGGACACGGATTTCATCCTTCTCGAGGCTCGTCAGCTGGATGTACCTGCACTCGAGTGAGCGATGTTGTTCCCACTGAGACTGGAAGCTAGCAATCATCGCTTCAAACGCCAGAAAGTTATCCAATAAGCCGCTGAGACACGATGGCCACCTCTTCTATTGATACTTGTCACGAGGACAAGAGTTAACTCTCATGTTTCAGTGGCCTAATGACGTTTAAAGCGATGGGTACAAGGTTCGAGTCTCAATGAGAACAACATCACTCAATGTAGTACAGGTATATCCAGTTGACAAGTGTGAAATAGGATAAAAAAAAATGCCTTCATGACTTCACTACTATCCATCAACAAGTAGTCTATAACATGATGATGAGTATCCAGGCAGTAATCTAGGCATTCCATCATATAACACTTTATCTACTAACAGAAGTCGAGTGAATAATTCAATTCACTATAACAACACAATATTCAAACAATAATCAAGTGATTTTTATTATATTTCATTTACCTGAAAATGTCCAATACATAAATTTAAGGTTTCCAAAGTCTTAATTATCGATGATTCCTTTTTAACATGTGATAAATGTTTATATTCATTATACTTGTTATCAAAATTATCAACTTCATTGAATTCATTGATATAAGAAGAAGAAGAAGTTGATAAACTTTGATATGGATGATAAATAGACAAATCGACAGAATTTAAACCACAATTACAAGAAGGAGTACAAAAATATTGATGATCATTAGATATATCAGTATGATATGAACAGTTTGTTAAATTGTTAACATGTGTCATCATTAGTGTAGAATATTCATCCAATATAGAAGTGTTATTATTATTAAGCATACTTGTATAAGTATGAGTTAATGATAAATTGAAGTTAATCACTGATGCATAGATAAGCTCTTCATTAAATGATGATATAACACTGATTCCTATTCCAATGGGTAATGTTACATTAGCCTAAAAAGATAATATTAATTAGAAGAATACTAAATTAATGCATTGTATTGAATACTAATACAATATAATACTGGTGTTATACAACATAAGTTGATATTATATAAGGCAAAAAATGTATAATGTTTAACACAAAAGCTATGAGTATCTCAAGTGATGCATACAGTCTACAATAATGGACAATATTCGTTTCATTAATATAAGAGTAAATAAAACTTGGCCACTGTAGTCGACTTTAATTCCATTTTAGTCTATTTATTAAAAATATCAGGCAGTGAAACAGTATTGTTCATTTACTGGATAACCTTTCGGACATAATTTATTGTTCATATTCATATCAGGTAATTAACTCCACAACTTTCAGATAGAGTTTATATAATCCTCACTTTCTTTTCTTCTCTGTAATGAAAAGGATAGTAGAATTTTCCATATATCTGGAACACAGGTGCTGAATCATTTCGATTGCATGCACTAGATGTTAATTCGATAAACAAAGATTCGATTATCAATCTCTCCATCAACCCTCATTTGTGATTGTGTGTAATTGCGTGCAGAGCTATAGCTGAGCTTTTCTCTAGATTTCTTATCTTATTAAGATCTACTAATCATGATTTAGCTAAGTTTTTGTGCTCTGTTATTCTAATCGATCCTGGTCGACTGCTTTGTCCTCGAAATCATTGCAAGGGATCTGGTAAAGATTTTTTTGCTTAATTGCCTCGATAGGATCTTTTAACCTACAAAGCTTGTTTCTAAGTGAGTTTGTTGGTTTGAATGCTACTCTAATCCCAGACAGCCTTATTGACAATTCTTCGTATTGCTTCTGAGGTGCCTTCCTTGTATGGTAACACAGCAGAGGCTTTGAATTCTCTCTTGGTGCGTTATGAAGGCATTTCCAACAAACTGTAGATGTCACCTACCCACCCTCACTACATACTGACACTGAAAATCACATGGCCACAATACAATAACAAGAATAAGCAACAACGAAGTCTGGCTGGCTGGCTGGCTGGCTGCCAACGAACCAACCAACAACCTATCACACAACAAATAGGCACAAGAATAAAGTGAAGATGGATTGGATTGCACGTGCACTGAGAAGAAAGATGGTTTGGGGACATCGCATACCAGATCGTCGAGTGGAACCCAAATGGGAAACGACGAATTGGGCGTCCGAGGAGAGGCTGACATGGAGGAGATCATGTGAGGAAGAAATGAAAGGTTGAAAAGACTGTAGAGGAGAGAGTGAAATGGTGATGTGCTACTGAAGTCCTATGTTACACTAGGAACCTAAGGGACAACTAATAAAATAATAATAAAAAGGATATCGATACTTGGTGGCAGGACTCGAACCAACGAGCTGCGGGTTAAATGATTCTAACTGGCAATAATTTATACATTTGAAAATGATCTCTTGTTCTATATGTTACTCTGCCTATTCCTTATGCTCCATATTCCTATTCAACATTGTACGTTTCTTTTTGTTCAATTTCTTAACAATCTATTGTTATCATTTACGATGTCGCTACATATACTAGTTATATGCATTCTTATAGGTAGCTTTCAGTACATTAGTATTTAACTATTCTATTTTACCACAACTAACAAATTCCATTATCACAATTACATAGGAACTAACCTGTTTATTATATACTTAAGAAAACTTTAAATGTGACAGATTTTGGATCCCTGATTATATTGGCATCTATCTACCTATCCATTGACATAATACAATCAATGAATCGAAGTCCAAAAAGAGATGCTCAGATGCATACATTTTCAGTATATATGCTAGAGAAAACAGTCACATTCCAACTAAGGGATTTGTTCATAACAAAGTTCATTACATTGAACAAGATCGATATATACTTGGTTTTGACAATTTACCTTCTTTCTGAAATCACTCACTTACCTTGAAATTTGTGACAAGTTGAAAATCTGCTACATTATGTAGATTTGGTTGGTTTAGATCACCTTCATACAACGGCGTGACACATTGAGAATAAGCCTAAAGGAAGAATAAATATATGGGGCTGATATTTTAAATACTACCTTGTACCTTGATATTAACATATTCAATAAACAGAATCCCGGTGAGAACAACATCACTCACTGAGAGGCAGGTACACCCAGGACGAAATGCACATCCTGGATTCCACTGCTAGACACTACCCATCATGACTAAACGTAATCGAAAAACAGGCAATATCAAGGCATACGCACAGGAGCCCATATGCCAACAGAGACTGATCAATTCAGTTCAATCAACGACGGTGTAATGCAAGCAATAACACTAGAAATGGAGTTCATTATTACATGATAGACAGATAGATAGAAAGACAGAAGCAACGTAGAATCATGCACACAAGTGCTACAGTTCAAGCTACCACATTTCACAGTTGCATGCAAAGAACAAGTGGATAGAAAAATACTGATATCGAAACAGACAAAAGTGTGTGAGAAAACAAACAATTTGAAGAAAATGGTTGGCATAAATATTCAAGCATTAGATGATGTCAACAAGGGGATACACTGGACTGTGGAAAAGAACCTAGAAGATTTGGATTTTGCTGATGACTTGTGTCTAATGTCAGAAAAACTTGAACATCTACAGGCGAAAACTAACAAGTTGACAGAAAAGGCGAGGCAGCGAAGACGGGACTTCAAGTGAATGTAGAGAAGACAGAGGTGATAAAGATACCCACCCAACAACAACAACAACAAGAAACTCCAATCACCATCAACGGGAGAAACCCATAGGAAGTAGCCTCCTTCACCTACCACCGAGGCAGCACTGTTTCAACTACAGGCGGCACAGGCACAGACGAAGACGTCAAAGCCAGTCAGGATTGGAAAGACAACAAGACAGGCGTTGATTAACCTGAAACTAGTGTGGAGATCTTCTGCACTGCACTACACTCAGCATAAAGTGTGAACAACATCCGGATTTTCAACACCAACATCAACGTGAAGTCAATGCTTCTGTATGGTTCAGAGACTTGGTCCATTACGAAAGGCATTTCCAACAAACTACAGACATCCATCAACAACTGCCACCTACGCTGGCTCGTTACTGAAGATCAGATGGCCAGAATAATAAGAATAAGTAACAAGGAACTCTGGCCTGGCAACGAACCAACGAAGCAAGAACCTATCACTCAACAAATATGCAGTGGAAGGAAGTGGAGATGGATTGTGCATACACTGAGAAGGCCGAGTGGAGACATCATGCTTCAGGCCAGGCCGTCGAGTGGTGCGTCCCAGCTGAGGGTGACATGGAGGAGATCGTGCGAGGAAGAAATGAGAGCTTGTGGGCTGTTGTGGAACCAGGTTCAAAAGATTTCAGAGAACAGAGCTCATTGGAGACGTGCTACTGAAGCCCTATGTTCCGTTAGGAACTCATTGTGACCATCTCCATCATTGTGACCAATTTTAATCTATTTCACCAACAGTTCCTCAACCACTGATTACTATCGTCTCAGGAAACCCAACCAAGTAATTTACACCTGTCTACATGTCTCAGACCATTTCGTTAGGGCTTTCACGTACTGAACCATCTAATCAAACTTCTCTTATTGTTATAATTATTTCATAAATCACCTCAGTGCAAAAGAACTGCATATCTTATCGATTGCATTTACTTCCTCCACTGTCTTGTTTAATTGCTTATTAGCTTAGTTTCTGTTACTTAGTTTTATAATGCACAACTTGGCATAGCTTTATGTACTAAATTATAAGCTATGCTTAATGCATGTAAGATGTGCATAGTAGACCATTATTAATATTTTGATAAATGTTTGGTTTTTTTTTCTAGAAATGTTCATGAAACTCCTGTTGCATGTCTGCTACCATAACAAATGAACAGAAATTATGTCATAAAGCTTTTGAAACTAGAAGTTTCATAATCATCTAATACATAAAACTAAAGAGCTCAAAACACGGAATCCTTTCCGGTAGCCAACGCGCTTTCCTGTATGGTTTTCTTATTACCTGAAAGTAGCATTTAGTTTCCCCCTATCGAATGATCTTCCGGCTGGAAGCATCTATTATTGACAAGAGTGTCTTGTTTAGTAAATATCTGATCTAACTCAAAGATTTTAAAATAAGAAACTGGTAGTAGTGTCAAATCCTATGCCAGATGGTGTTCATCAAGGATGTACACACTCTCTATATCCTTATGATATGAGACTCAGTAAGTGAATTAGAACACTTCAACGACATAGTCGATAATATGCAGACATTTCTGGATATTATGAATGCCTAGGACGGATTTTCTAACCTTGAAATCATTATTTCACAACTGGCCTGCATCTATAGTCTATCTGACAGCAAGCGACCAATTGACTGAACATACTGAGCACTTCTCTTTATCTGGGAAATTGGATTACTTACTATGGCTTTGTTAGTCAGTGAAATCTCGGCAACTCGTATCAATTGTGGCAGCAGTTAGTCTGTGCTTGCCAACTTATATCACTTTATCTGCATGTGATATGGTCTCGTTAGCTTAGGAACAAGAATTTCAATCAGTGAATCTTGGGTTCAAAACTTGCCCCAACTACTTTAGTCTCGGAAACTAGATATTATCACAACAGCAAAATGTGACTAGTTGTTTAGCGCAAAACCGTGTACCTGATTGAGTTGTATCCTTTATCATATTTTTATTGCCTATTATAGAAGAGCTTGACATATTCATTCAATTCTTAAAGAGTTGATCGATATATACTGTTGGTGCTACACTTGTTTAAACTATATGAATATTATTAGTAATAAGGTTGATATTTACATGCAGTGATAACTGCCTTCATACTGATCACCAATCACTTATCCATTCAACAAACTGAAATCCATTCAGAATAGTCATTAGTAACTGGGATTGTTGACATCTGCCCTAATTAAGGAAGTGTTTTATGATACCAGAAGGATGCATTGCATTAGAAAAATGCTTTCCATGTCAGTTACAGTTATAATCTGAGGGTAGTTATGCCAACCTTCATAGTAAGCTAAAGGTGCGTGCTCCTGGGGATTCGTAAAATGTGACAAAATAAATGTGGTTCACTACTTACTGCATGAAACTGTATGTGGTTGCTGATATGGGGATAGAGAGAAAAGCCATCTGGAGATAGGGACCAATCAAAATGTATCTTATAGTAATGATGGGTAGTGGGGTTGGCAGTGGAATCCAGCATGCGCACTTCGTCCTACTTGGGAGGAGTCACTTGAATGTACCTGCCTCCCAGTGAGTGTTGTTTCCACCGGGATTAGAACTCGGAGCCGGTCGCTGCGAACGCCAGAGCGTTATCCGCTAGACCACCGAGCCACGTTAGCCACGAGTATAGTTTTAGTGTTGTTGCTTGTGTTATACCATCGTTGACTGGACTGAATTGATCGTTCTCTATTGGCATATGGGCTCCTGTGCGGGTGCCTCGATATTGCCGATATTACCATCATTACTATATAATTAAAAACACATATTTTCCTTTGTTCTTGTCTTCGGTATTTGAACCTGAATACAAGTTACTATGAGTCTATCGTGTCTTCTCCGTTCAGTAGTTGGGTCGGGAATCAACTAGGAATTCATTGGATGTTGATGGCTGACACTCAATATCCGTTCATCGTTAATGGCCATAGCAAATAGCAGTTTCCACACCATAACAGTGGCGATGGGAATGGGATGTTGGGAAATGAATTCTTAGAAGTTGGACAATTTTCTTGAGCCACAAATGAGGATTATCAAGATACTTACGCAATGCAGAATTTCTGGTACTGAATCATAGCCAAATTTAATACCACCTTCAGTTAACAGCATCGCCAATAGCATCACTGAATTTCGCTGCGATCCTAAGGCCATTGAGACTTTGGGTGCTTGATTCAGGCGTTATGAAGACTACTTCAAAGAAGGTTTTGCTGGCCAAGATGATTCCTGGAAGGTAAGTCTCCTTTCTTTGAAAGCTTGGTCCACCTGAGCTCGACCAATACTGCAGCATGATTTCACCGCGAAACCCACGTAATCGCACTATAGACGCCACAGTCCAGACACTGAATGACATGTCTGCAGAATATCAACGACTGGGCAACCTGAAGCGTGATGCAAGTTTAGCCCAATCCGGACGCCAGGGTGGTTCTGAAGTACAGACAGTTCGCCAGACATCTCATTCCTCTGCATCACCCTCTGGCCACAAACCCACCGGCCTTATATCGCCGGTTCATCGGCACAGGAATTCAAAGAAGACACCACCATCGCCTTGCTGGCATTGTGGTGTCTTGCATTTCACCAAATCTTGTCCACTTAAAAAACATCGATGCCGGGACTGTAATCTTGGGGGCCATAAGGATGGTTTTTGCCGCCAACACCCACAACGACGTGTAAAAAAGTCATTCTGTAGACACCACGGCAGATCTCATTTTCTATCGGTAGGTAAATATCTTGGCTTGATAGTTGATTTCCATGCTCATGTACCTGCCCGCCGAAAAAATATCGTAAAGACTAGTGATACCCCACTAAACAAGGAGAAACTCCCTCTGTGTCGGTCAGATAGATGTAAGGAGAAGACAGTGCGACTCAGTCTGACCCCAAATAACATTCTTTCAAGGAGGGAAGCGATAGGGGGATAGAGAGAAAAACCTTGATTTCTGTTAATCGTTATAACAAAAAACAAAAGTTTTATATAAAAATAATAGTACTTACATCTGTTAGTGAAACTGATGTTCTTCTTCTCCAAGGTGAAATAGTTTCAACCTTAGGACTATGTGTAGTAATATTTTTATTATCATCATCTTCAATGCGTAGAACACGTGTAGTTTTGTCTAAGTAGGTGAATACACGTAATTTACCCGAACCAGGACGAAGCCAAATTGGTAAAATAATTGCAGATGTAATTGAAGCACTGATTAAACGTGTAGCTGATGGACGTGGACGTGCTGCTAATAAAATAAGTTGATTTGATGGTATATGTGATAAACTGGTTGTAGTATCATTATAATTTTCATCAATGACATTATCATCACCTAATAAAGTTGTTGATGATGATAGCTTATCTATTAGATCCCGATGCATTTGTACACAAAACAATGCACTATTAACTAATAGCCCATGCTAAATAGAAACAAAATATACAAAAATCCATTGAAAAGAATAAGTCATAAAGTAAATAGAATCATCGGTTAGAACTATAATACATTTGACAATGTTAATACAAGAAACATACAACAGTTCTGTATTCAGTCTTCAAAGGAAACATCATCCACGGTGCAGTTTAATATTAAAGTTATTCTCTGCCCCCCCCCCCCTTCTCTCTCTTTGACGAGCTTATCCATAATGAAAATGTGTTGGTTCCCTATACAGTAACATAATATCAGAAAACAAGTCAACTACATCAGAAGTAGTTTTTAAATTTGTCTGAATTTCCTTTCCAAATGAATAAGCATACTGAAAGTGTTTTCAAACTGCACATGAAATCAACACAATATGAAGTGAACAGTAAAGTTTGACAAGGTTGTATCAGAAGTATACAAAATTCTTTTTGTTTCCTTCCAGAATAATAAAATTGTATCGTTCTTTAAAGTCATTAAGCGATGTTGAGTTATCCAGAATGCTTTTCAGGGGTGGAGCTAAACGTTATCCCAGATGTTGTAGTATTCTATGTGAAAATAAGTATTTTCTGTGTTCGTAGGCATATATTTTTCAAGTGAAAACTTCAATCGTAATACCTTTTTGCTAAAGTTTGAAGACTGAGTTGACTTCTTTTCATTTATGAGCATCATTCTTCATAAATGAATGTATTTACATCGCAACTATGAGGTAGAAGTGCCAATAATAATTTACAAATGAGTAAACGGCATGAAACATTATTCAGTGACACAGGAGGCTTCAGAAACTATAAAAATGGGTAAAATAAGCATACGGGATGTACAAAATGCGTGATTGTGCTCACAGAATGCCATATCTTATAACAAATAAGGTAACACATAAGAATAACTTTTAGCCTCACCCGCTTTTCAGTCAATAAAAGTTTTCAATATATATATATATTCTTCTAAATGTATATTAAGTGAAAAAATGGACTTAGTAACATTGTAAGCATTCGTGGGGCATTGAGTGAGTCACACATGTTGTGTAAGGGTTGGCTGCTCAAACCTCGATAGGTGGAGAGGAGTTCGTACCCGTGACATAATGCGTGGAAGTTCTCTTCCTAAACCAATCAACCAAAAGAGAATAAACCAAGATAGATCAAAATATAATCCCATATTAGATTAGTCGATTCGATTTATAACACAAAGTAAGTGATATAGTATTATCCACTTGGTGACCACATTTCGAACATCAATTATCATTGCTCATAATCATATCAATGTAAATCACACAACTTTCCACATCTGATTTTTATAATCCTGTCACCCACCTACCTACTTCATATTCCTTGTTTTTATTGGTAGTAAAATTTCCCATATCTCTGTTATGAGTGTTACATCATTAGCTTTACATGTGTTGGGTGTTGATTCATTAACCAATGTCTCTCTCCACCTAATTATATTGGATTTGAGCACAGTGGTTCAATCCCACCCAACTTATTGGGTACTTGTGTGTTAATACATCCATTGCAACAACCCAGTGCTTCTCTTGATCATTGATCTAATTGAGTCTGTCATTCTAGTTTGACCTATGTTCTCGACCTGATTCACAGTCATTACATGGAATTTGATAGATTAGATTATTTTGCTGAATTGGTTCTATCGGATCCTTAAGCCAGCTGATAAAATTTGTGTCGGAATGAGTTTGTAGGTTTAAATGCCACCTTAATTCCAGTTTCGTTGAGGATTCTATGTAAATTTTCTGATATGCCTTCCTTATTGGGTAAACAATGGAGGCTGTGAACTCCTTACTACTCATGTTACTGTTATCATTTCATCTACGAGTTTCTTATCTAACGGTAGAGCATAATTGTTAATTATTAACGCTTCTTCTATGTGCTTCAATTCCTTGTTAAGGTCCATGCACTGACTACTCAGTTTTCTAACTCTATCACTTAGACATTTGACTAAACCTGCCTTTAATGACATTGACTGGACTGGATGAGATGACTTGAAGTAGTCTAGACACCTGTTGGAATGTGTCGGTTTTCTGTAGATGACAGTATCCAAACTACCGTCTATTCTTCGTTTTATCCTGCAATCCAACATAGGTGATTCTCCTTGTTCATTTTCTACCTCCTCATAAGTGAATTGGATTGCGTCTACTACTGAGTTTATATACGTGAGGAAATTGTCCTGAAATCCTTCTGATTCCAACCCAGTAAATGTGTCATCCACATATTCCCACCATATCTTAGGTGCAGGATTCAACCTTTGTAAAGTCATGTTTTCCTAACTATCCTTAAAAATATATCTGCTACGATTGAAGACATTGGCGATCCCACTGTTATTACTACTTCTATTTTTCTGTATAATTTATCCTGAAACTTGAGAACTATGGAGGTGAAGCACAACTGTACACCTTATTTGACTTCATCAACCGATATCTTAGTCTTCTGGAATTAGGGTGACATTTAAACCTACAAAGTCAGTCATAGATAAGCCTTGTCAGCTGGCTTAAGGATTCGGTAGAATTCCATGTAATGACTGTGAGTCAGGTGAAGAACATAGGTGAAACTAGCTGGTCAGGGTCGTTTAAAATGGCCGAACATAGGAATTTAGCTAAATATAGAATGACAGACCTCAATTAGATCAATAATCGAGAGAAGTACTCGGTTATTGTAATGGATGTATTAAGACACACAATCACGCAATAGGGTGAGTGGGATAACATCATTGTACTTACGTTCAATATAATTAGATATGATTATGAGGAATAGTATATGCTTGAAATGGGGTCATCAAGTAAATAATATTGTACCACTGTGTGTTATAAATCAAATCAACAAATCTAGTATGGAATTACATTCTACCACAGTGCCGAAGTTTTACACTTATATTAACAGATCAGAATAATTTAAGCCATCTATGAAATCTGTGAAGATTTTCATAGGCACAGTATTTTCTGAACTTAAGAAAGTTGAAGGGAAGAGAACACCAGAGTAATGGTTAAAGAAGTGTGAGACTTAAAGTTATCCTCAGGTGTTGTAGCCTTCTGTATTCTGTATGCACATATTCTGAAAGGAGAACTACAATCATAAATCCTTTTCGATGTAATTTGTAGCCTCAACTAACTCACTGTTATCTGTGAACATCATTCTCATCCTGAATAACTGTACTTACTTTCTGCCTAAGAAGTGGAAGTGCAGCCAATACTTCGCACATGAATAAACTATATGAAACACTATCCAATGACAGATAGGATTGTAACTAACTATGCAAATCGGTGGAATATTCATACGGAACACAGAAAATGATCGTGTTTTCACCAGGAACCCTACAACCTGTGGCGAGCAGGATAACACCTGAGGATGACTTTTAGCCTCATATCCCTTCGAACACAAAATTTCCTATCCCTTTAGGTCGAACAAAACTCTGTCTATCTACCACTTCCTTGATGTTTTGGGTAGAATCTATATGTAACTACTTTTGTATGTTGTTGGGTTGTAACTACAACAGTTGAGGATTTAATCAGTTCGGAGTGATCGCCTGTACATACTGCAGTACAACAACTTTATGGAGAAATGAAGAGAATTATTTGATGTCTATCCTAAAGAAGGATGGTCATTCATGAAACTTCATCAAAAGATGTCTATCTCGTTCCTGATCAACTACAAATTTATCTACAGCAGTCAAGTAAATGAATCATCCTACTGTAACATAAAAAATATATCAGACATCATGACACGATTACCGAGACTACTTGGAATTCGTATGGCTCGTAAACCAACAAATTTTCTTCGGATCAAAAGATGCAAAAAGCCAACGAAGACAAACCAAACAATAATTACAAAATAAACTGCAACCATTCCGACCAACACTACTATTTCGAGGGCTGATGGTGCATAGGATATATTTACAGTGGTACTGGCTATTTTCCAAGCCTTTCTAGATTTGAATCCTATTGATTTTTCGTCCCTTCAACCAATCTGATATTCGCACGTTGGTTCATGTGCTTCCTCCAGAAACTTCTAGGCAAATGATTGTGATGTGTATGCGTCGGAGTAGGTAGTGAGTTCTAATAATAAGCGAAACGAGTAACAACGCAATGAGATACTTAGGCTGGATACGAGTAATGCGACTGTCTCCCTCCACACCTGATACTCCACTAAACCGCTAAAACGAGAAGAAAAACATACGCCACGACTGACCTAAGGAAGGCGACTTTATTTGACAAAAAATATGGTATTTATATACAGCTTAGACTCAGAAAATAAAGCCACTAGATCACTAATCAGCTTGAAGGACAAAATCGTTCTACCCCAAAGGCGAATGACCTTTGGTTGAAAAGGCGGCAATGATTTAGAGCTTTTTATGTAGATCATGGCAATTCTATTCCACACTATTACCAGTATATTGGATAAAGTGGTCGCCCTGTTTGCCTTCGTTTACACCAACATTAGTTAGTTATTAAACGTCACGATATTCCATCGCTCATATCTAATGCTCATGATGTTGTCAAGATAAACAATGAGGGCTTCACAACTAAACCATTTAGTTCAAAGAACACAACCAAGATATTTGCATATAATATACTTACTGGTCTATTCTCCAAGTCTGATAACATTTGCGTTTCTTACTAGGCTTAGAAATTACAAGTTGTACAACTTCAAAGTGTTCTATAGTTTCTGCATCCAATAATTCGTTGGGAATATGTCGTTCATTTGATCGGGCATTTGGATCTCCTTTACGATTAACATCCAAAACAAATTCAGCTTTATGTTTGGAGAATGCACCTTCATGATAGATTAAACCATTTTCAGCTAACTTCCATAACTGTGAATGACGTCTTGTTGACTAATAATACAAAGACAATATGCACACAGAAAAGCACAAAGAGAATGTGACTATTTATTGTACAGGTAAGTGTAAATGCATAAAGTAAGGTGGTCGTGAAGACAAATACTCAACGATGACACTAGGTGGTGGTCGCGCTATATCGTGAACTGGCAGAAGTTGGAAATATGGACCATTGGATTCCAACCCACTAGCTCAATGGTAACGTGCTGACCAAGGAACCAAAATGCCCTCGGTTCGATCCACGACCAGGCGGGGTCATGGGTGCGCACTGCCGAGGAGTCCTATACTAGGACGAAACAGCTGTCCAGTGCTTTCAGGTTTCCAACGTCCTCCAACTGATGTCAGTCCATGATGGATACCAACTTGAAAATTTGCACTTCCAGGTTGTAGTGAACGATTGGTGTTAACTTTCGTCAAATTGTAATCAGCAGAAAAGTATATATTTTTGAGATGAATGGGGATTTTTTAATTTAGAAGTAGTATTCATCATGGACTGACATCAGTTGGGGAACCATTGAAGATCTGGGAGCACTGGACAGCTGTTTCATCCTAGTATGGGACTCCTCAGCAGTACACACCCACGACCCGGCTGGGGATCGAACTTAGGATGGGTCGTGGGTGTGTACTGCTGAGGAGTCCCATACTAGGACGAAACAGCTGTCCAGTGCTCCCAGATTTTCAATGGTTCCCCAACTGATGTCAGTTCATGATGAATACTACTTTTAGAAAAGCATGTGTTCAATTACACTTATTTATATTGAACTCATTTGAAAAAAGGTTAAGATAAGAATGTTAACAATTTCTAAGAAGTAAATCTTCTTGAAACTGGAATTTAAGAGTGATGCTGTTGGTGAGATCATGACACAACGCACAAAAACAGCCCTGGAAACAGCATATACATCCGCTAAATTCTGTTCTATCTTCTACAACCACTCGATTGTAGATGCCAAAAAAAATAAAGACAGACTGCCTGATTCTGCCACTTTCATATGCATTTTTTTTATCACTTCAACTACTCCTGTGGATCTAGTTATACATTGGATGTACAATGATGCAGGTTCATCGTTGAATTTCTCAGCACCACCCATCACTTTTGAATAAGGGACAGATAATAATAACAATAAAAAGCTCCATACCTGTACACTCAGCTGACACTGGACCTCAAGTGAATAACTAACAAAGATTATTCACCGTATACCAATTAATTTACCGCATTGATAAAGCATTTGCTTACTTAACATAGAATAGGTGATTGTAATCCACCTTTGTATTCAGATTGGTGCGTTACGAAAGGGATTTCCAACAAACTACAGACATTCATCAATAACTGCCACCTACGCTGGCTCGTTACTGAAGATCAGATGGCCAGAATAATAAGAATAAGCAACAAGGAACTCTGGGAATGAACCAACAAACAAGAACCTATCGCTCAACAAATATACGGTGGAAGAAAGTGGAGATGGATTGGGCATATACTGAGAAGGCCGAGTGGAGACATCACGCGTCAGGCCAGGCCGTCGAGTGGAGCGTCCCAGCTGAGGGTGACATGGAGGAGATTGTGCGAGGAGGAAATGAGAGCTTGTGGGCTGTTGTGGAGCCAGGTTCAAAAGATTTCAGAGAACAAAGCGCATTGGAGACTTGCTACTGAAGCCCTATGTTCTATTAGGAACCCAAGGGACAAAATGATTAATAATAATAATAGTAATTTGTATTCAAAAATAATTCCTTGGACAACTTGTATAGCGGCGGACGTTACAATGATATAACTTTTAGTAGTTACTTTGTACGCCTTTTCCATCTACTGTTTACAACTGATTATTCAAATAAAGATATTCCACTTACTTTACTGATTGCTATGCAATTCATCTAAAAGAAACCGTTTTTAATCCCATATAATTACTCTTTGTTGATTATTTGCATTTTGATTTCTCAAACTTATCTCATTTTCATGATTAACTTAAAATCAATAAATATTACTTATCAATCCCCTCCCCAGTAGTTGACTGGTATTTTAACTGGATTGTAAATCTATATATTAGTGTAGAGTCAAGGACGAGAATCTAATTGAAAAGGAATATATTGCTTCACTCAAGCAATCAGTCTTTTTTCCAAACAGAAATTGCTTGTTATCTTGGTGTAGTTGTGGAGCTAACTTATCAATCATGGATCCCGCAATCGAACAGTTATTCCTTCAGGGTTTTGTAATGTAAGAGATCTTGACAAACTAAAAGTATCCACCATTATAGTGTAAATAAGTTACAGGATTGATTGAAGAGGTTGTGAAAACTAGTTGGTTGACGTGGTTTGGACATGTACTGCACATTCCAGGGCCAGACACTGTCTACCTCAACGTGCCATGGATAGAGGAAGTTGAACTAGGTTGGAAAAGGATTCAGAATGGCCAGAAAAAGTCCTGGTATTAGGCCATGAAGTTCCTAACTGTTGGTCTGAGCCATGTGGTCCGAGTCCCTGGACGAAACAAACCAGTGGTTGAGGACACTTGATGACATAGCTGAAAATCGGTCACAATGGCACTGTTATATTCACTCCTTGACATCATCTAAAGGTTGAATATTTACACTAAACTTTATCTTCAGACTACTTTATCTATTTTGATACCACTCCGTTTCTATCCACCTATTCTTTGTTTACTTTTGTGAAGTATGGCAACTTGGGCCGATGCACCTGTGGTGTACAAGGTTCTACTTTGATTTTTTCACTGTCAGTCAGTCAGAGTGACGTCATACTGCTGGCAGGACAATGATGCGTTGTTAGTGAAATGAATCTCTTGTCGATCATCTTTGTCAGCTAAACTGCCTTTCTATTCTGCGAAGAAAGGGATAGGAAATGTCATACTTGGAAGTTGTGTGTACTGCGCCTTGTCTTATAGCTTTCACATCTGATAATGAGGTCTTTCAAAGCCTAAAGTTATCAACTCTGTAGAAAAGTATATGAAGTTGCTGACGAAAGTACCTAACCTGATGACGAATTCTGTGTAGCAGGATTCTTAACATTGGTGCTAAAACAGATGTGACCACCGGTCCACTACTAACTTACTGAGTCCATCAAAAAACGCGGGAAAAAAACGCTAACAATGACTTTAGGAATTAGTCTGAATAGTGGTTGATAGATAGATAAAAAAAATCAGTGTAGAAACCTCGCACTCAAGGGGATCAGTCCAAGTTGTCACACCACGAAGTAGTACACCAAGAATAAGTGGATAGAAAAAGTGATATTAAAGTAGACGAAGTTGTATGAAAGAATAAACAGTTTGAAGATATAGATTGGTGCAAACATTCAAACCTTAGAAGACATCAAGGAGATCTCCAAACATGGCTCTGAGAAACGGTCACAGGCTTCTACTGGTGCCCCACCCTATATCTTACCACTCTGAACCAAATGAAAAAGCCACCTCACCGATGAAGATTCACAACTTCGTCAATCGACTTGTCTATCTTGAGAGTGGAATGAAAATCTGGCACACCACAGAATTCGAAGCAGTTGGTAAAGTACCATACCAGTAGTTCGGCTCTATAAACACAACCAATTTTGTCTTCATATTACTAGGGAGTCAGTCATACTTATGATACAATGATGACCTATGATACTAACTAGTTACCTTAACTTCCAAAAGTACGGTAGGGTTAGAAACTGTAATCTATCAGTTGAAAATTGCATATTACAATCAATAATTCATAATTCCACTATTATATTAAGATAACTAATGAATAGTTATATTCAATTTCAGATATTCCTGTATCAATTACGAATCAAAGCTGATTGGATAAAATAACAATTATAATAATAGGTCAATAGAAGATATAATCAACATACTTTCATTGCACAAACAACATAATTTGAATCAGGAAGTACATCAAAAACAAGATCTGGTAATGTTGAATTTCTTCTATCCAATGAATCAGTAATAATTTTCTCTGGAAAAGAATCTGTCAATGGTCCAAATAATGTTAAGTATACAAAATTATTATAGTGTAACGTTTTAATGACACCAAGTTCATTCAAATTGTAGACTTCACTAATATTATCCTAAAATTAGATGACAAGAAATTTATTAAGTAAATATTAAAATTTAAATAAATTAAAGAAAAAACCTTGTATAAATATGTGTAGTCCAATAATGCGAATTTGTGATCAAATTTACGCTGATCAGTATTGTTTCTAGGTCTAAAATAAAATTTATGATAATGATCATTCGTGTTATAACATGATTAGTGTTGGTTAACGCTGGAATCCAAGATATGTGGTTCATTCAATATTAAAATTGTCACTTGAATTTACCTGATGTTTCTGCTGAGCGTACATAACCAACAGATATCAGTCATAATGTTGTTGAATGGATCAAATTGATCAGTCTCTATTAGCATAAGGGCTCCTGTGCGAATGCTTCATCTTCTTATTGCCTGTGTTTCAACTATACACATTATTGATGGATAGCGTCTAGCAGTGGAATCTAGAATGTACGTTTCGTCCTATTCGCGACTCATCAGCCGAATGTATATGTATCGCAGTGAGTGATGTCCTTCCCCTGAGACTTCAATGTGGATTGCTTCTAACGCCACAACGTCATCCATGAGGTCACTGAGGTACAAAAGGTTAGGTACTGTGTAATAACTTGGGTCGAACTGCTCGACCATTGTTGGCAGATGGACCCATGTGCAGATGCATCGATACCGGTCGAATATTTGTTATGTTGTAATCTGTTTGGTAGCTAGCGGTGGATTCCAGGACGTGTGTTTCGTTCTATCTGAGGCTTGTTAGCTGACCTAAAGGATAATATCTTGGTATTTGAAGCTATGGGCACTTGACTCAAGTCTCAGTGAGAACACCCATCACTCATTGGGGTGCAGGCAAATCCAGTTGACGAACCCCAAATAAGACGAAACGCTTTTCCTGAGTTTCACTGCTATCCAGGTAGCAGGTCAAAACTATGCAATTCATTTACAAAAGATTTGATTACATCTTGATATTTATTTACAGATAATATTTGGTTGTAAACGGTTACTTATTGTATAGATTCTGACTAACATACTATTATTCAAGCGGAGGTATATAATTTCCAGTAATGATAGTAATTCCATTGGTCAATTTGAGCAGAGACAGAGTGTAAATGCGTTAATAGGGTCTCTCTCTCCTTACCGGTAATTTTTATTGTTTGAACTTCAAAAAATTGCGGAGATAGGTAATATGTAAGACTTGGATTTCGTGTTTACTGGGAATTACTAGAAAAGACAACAAGTAATGCTGATCGAAATTGTATCAATAACCACTCGAAGAATCGACTATTTCATCTTTGTTACCTGAATGCAGAACATTCCAATGAAAATATTGCTGAATTTTAGGAAACAGGTCAGTGTTAAACCAGATTACCAGTATGATATCGAAAAACATAACGTTAATCGAAAATAGTATATAAAAAAGTGGCTGTACTAAGGTATCGAGATGGCGGAAAGAGAAAATAAACCAATAATTGATTTCCAAATGTAATCATATAAAGGAAGTTTTATATTCACCCTCGCCACTTGCTATGACTTTAAAATTCACCCTAGTACCAACCGAAATAACCAATCAGACTACTCAATTTTATGAAAATCTGCCTTTCCAGCCGGAATGAAGAAACGTAATTGGTTATTTCAACCGTTTCTAGGATGGCCTTTAAAGTCGCCCTGTTATATTCTTGCAGAGACTACTTCATATAACCCGAATCATATATGACTGCAAGGCTTGAATACCAACCTTCAGATTCCACCCCTTGATAGTCGCTCAGTTTCCTCAATCAATGAAAAAGGTGGTAATCTAACGTAGGTGTATTGCAAGGGTGACTTTAAAGGCTACTCTAAAACTGATAAGACAGCAAATTACATTGGTTTATTTTGTGGAAAAGTACTTTTCCAGATGGAATATCAAAGCCTGCCTGGTCATTTCAGCTGTTGCTGGGTTGGTTTTTGAAATAAGTAGCTTTAAGACCACCCAAGAAAAACTGAAATAACCAGTCAGGTTTCAGTATTCCAGCTGCAAAGGCAAATTTTCATAAACTAGAAAAACTCAATTGGTTATCTCATTTGTTCCTAGGGCTTCTATTCAGAACATGCAACTTTAAAGGCCACCCTAGCAACAACTGAAATAACCAGTCAAACTTTTGCATTTTATGAAAATCTGCCTTTTCAGTAGAAGTAAAGAAACCTAATTGGCTATTTCAATCGTTGCTAGAGTAGCCTTGAAGTCATCCTGACTCAAAGCCCACCCTGACAACAGCTGTAATAACCAATCAAGTTTCAGCATTCAGCCAGAAAGATAGTTTGTCACAAAATATCAAAGCCTGATTGGTTATCTTAGCAGTTGCTTAGGTGGCCTTTAAAGACCACCTTAGCAACTGTTCACATAATCGATGTCATTTCTCTATTTAATGGAAAATTACTCTTCCAGGTGGAATATCTAAACGTCATTGGCTATTTCGGCAGTTGTTAGGGTTGCCTTTAAAGTCACTTATATTACAACACCAAAAATGTATGCAGTATAAAAATGCTTATCCATATTTGTACTGAACTTGGCTATTTCATAGCCTTTGTGGATTTGAGTATCCTATAGATTTTCGCTCCTTAAACTAATCTAATATTAACACACTGGTACATGTAATTTCTCTTGAAACTGGTACAACATGATTGGTTATAGAAAGCTTCAGAAATTTATGAACATTATGGTAATGATATTCCAAACTTTAACAAAGAGTCATACAAAAGTATAAAGGATAAAAAAAAGCATACAACAAAGAATAAGGTATTCATAAGTAAACTATGCATACATATATACAATATATGTGTAAACGAACCTGAACACTTAAAATAATTGATGGATTACCATGTGGTTCTTCTAAAGCATATGGTATTGATGATCCTGGGATAAGAAATGATGGGCAAGCTCCACCATACCAATTTAAACAATTCTGATTATTAATTTGATCTATACAATTATTATCATCATTAATTAAAGTGGAATTATTGTTGAATACATTAGAATGCATAGAACTATTCAAATAATTATTTGACTGATTACTGATAGTGTAATTTGATATTTTAAACTATTACTGTTATTAGTCAATTCATCATCATTATATGAATCAACTAGTTGACAATAGTAAACAGATATTCCACTAATATTTTCAAAACGAAATGGAGGTATACAATTAGAATCTTTAATTTGTACAAAAATGTAGCAGATTTTAAGGTAACAACAACACGAAAAAATAAAGATTGAGGTAAATCTACTTGACGAAAATAATTTAATCTGTAAAAGAAAATAGGATAGGTGATAAAAGAAGAAAAAAAAAAAAGTTAAACAACAATGTTTCCATTCAAAAATGATGAGAAACACAAATAGTTATAAAATGATTCTAGATCATAAATGATTAATTGATAGCCTTTAAGACATTGAATACCAATGTCTACAATAGTACTAATCCCGTTATACTATAATTTACAACATTATGAATGAAATATTTAACAGCTTAGCCTATCCCCATCCTAGGAGTCATGCTTAATATAGACATCATCTGCATGTTATCTATATTTAAAGAATCTGTCATCTCAACAAAGCAGGTATTTAATCGACTTGTGAACATTTGTGCAGTAGGCGACAAGCCACTAGTGATACTCGGAACCATAACTCAATGGTTGATTGTCATCTTTCTAAATCAATAAGCCACATAGTTACACGTTAATTATGGATTAAAATTTTGGAATTCATAGTCGTATCAAAAAACTGAATTTTGAACATATTCTGACCAATAATGGGACTGGATGCTTTGGAAACACTTAAACACTTTATCGTATAAGGTGTAACATACAATGAAAACTGAATTTTAGTTATCCTTTTAAGTATAGTAATGATGGGCAGTGGCTAGCAGTGGAATCTAGGTCCAAACAACGACGGTGAAATACAAACAATAACACTAAAACTATACCCATAGCACAAGAAGTGGCTATCGTGGCTCGGTGGTGTAGTGGATAACGCTTTCACGTTTGAAGCGATCGCTCCTGAGTCCAAGTCCCCGTGGGAACAACATCACTCACAGGGAGGCAGGTAAATCCAGCTGATGAGTCCCAAATAAGACGAAATACGCATCATGGATTCCACTGCTAGCCCCTACCCATAATGACTATACATAGTTGAAACACAAGCAATATCGAGGCATCCGCATATGAGCCTATATACCATCAGAGATTGACCAATTCAGTCCAATCAACGGCGATGTAATACAAGCAATAACACTATCCTCTTAAGTGCTTGCATTCAGAAATATCTGCTGTCATCAACATTATCATACAAGATTCCTCAACTGATTTAAAGTACGTAAGCAACATTGTCTTCGCATCTGAAAATGCCAAAAACATCTTTGTGAAAAACTGAGTGTTCGGGGTACATTTATGACCCTACTAAATTATATCGTCACCTATCACTGGTTTGTAACGATGCTCTGTCTGAAAACAGAGAGTCATCAAGTTGTTGAACACGTTGGTCACTTCAATTACCTGTAAATTTGCATTAGCCCTGGTGGTTTTTAGTGGTCAGTGAGATGATTTCGGCAGCAACAGAAAAGTCTCCGTAGACCTTTGTTATGTGTCTACTTAATGCATGTATGTTAAGAAGGAAGGTAATCAGAACGTATGAGTCTTGAGTGGATTGAAATCAGGTTCTTTGTCCTCACTTCTTAAAACTACGTTGCTATGCTTATACGACGCCAATAGCTGGCAGACTAGCTTCTGGATTAAAGTAATAAGACGAGATGATAGCCTTGTTAAATTATGAATTCATAGGAGTTTGATAAAGTGGACTATTACTAGTCAATCCAGAGATTGAACGTGAATATGTACATCACGAGAATTCATAGCTCTAGGATTGATCCAATACATGATCGTGGAGATAATACTACTAAGAAATCATAGACTAACATGAGACAGATATCTAGTATCTCCAGTTTACTAACAGTTACTACTCCATTGTCAATTTATGATGAAAATTTATTTTACTATCCTAAACTTCTTTAAAACTTACCGTAGCATTGAAGTAAACGAGTGAGCATGATCAATTTGAAAACCACCTGACCATAATGTCCATATCCCTTCAAATTCACTATTGATAGTTGTTGTTGTCGTCATCAAATGATTATCAGAAGAAGAAGAAGAAGGATTCAAAGTTGTAACACAGCTCGTATACACAACAATCGATCTAAATCTTCACTAGACCAATGAAAAGCTTGACTACAATTCGGATGAACTGAGACAAAAGCTTTCATCAATAAAAAAAAAGTAAAGAAATAAAATAACATTGAGAAATAATTGAAGATAGTTTACGAATAAAATGAGTGTAAAAAGGTATATGTATATTGGAACAATGATGTTATTGGAGGACAACTTCAATTACGATAGTCCATCACAAGAATAAAAATCCAGCTCAAATGGCTCATCATCATCATCATCAACATGGGACGAGACATTACTGTATAACGGTTCGAGTGGTCACAGCTCATATCAGTACATCAATTAAAAACACAGTGAGGTGAAAGATAGATGAGAAAATCCAGTCAAAAGAAATATAAAGCACGAGAAGAAAGAAAGGAAGAATGATAAAGTGGTGAGATTTGGCATAATATTAAGATAAGGATAATGTGTGTATATACATCTGTACCCCTGACATCGGTTCTCAGCCATGCCATCATCTAGAATCACCAACCACTGGTTTCTCTTGTCCCGTGGACCTCAACCGACTAGCTCAAATGGCTAGGATATGTGTTATGTAGACCCAGTTACCACCGCATTACGAAGTTTTGGCGAAACCAGATTTAGGATCAAAACATTGGCCAATAAAATTTTTAGTTGTTGGAAGGGAAATTTAGACTTCTTCGTTAAGGTATGAGTGATAAAAAATATTTTGTGGTTGTAGATGGTAGGTGGTATGTTTTATAATGGAGATCACTTGTCTTCTATTTCTTCTTGGTGTCTTTTCATGCCTGTTATACGGCTGTGAGATATAGTCGTTAAAAGTGGAAGACATCAAAGGGTTACAGGGCTTTGTTCTTATGTGTATTCGTAGCCTTGCTCATGTTTGGTGGACTCACCATTTGAGCAATGTTACGGTCAGACGAAGGGTACCAGGCAAGATAGGCAAGCCAATTGATGAGGTATCTTGGACACATACTGAGCATGCCAAATCACTATCTACCTCGATGTGCCATGTTAAGGGAAGTTAGATTAGGTTGGAAGAGGGTTCAAGGTAACCAGACCAAGACCTGGTACCATTCAATGAAGTCTCTTGTTATCGGTCTGAGTCGTGTGGGTTGATGTGGACTGCTTGGTTGGGGTCCCTTCAGATGATAAGGATGAGTGGTTGAGAATTCTTGGTGACATAGCTGAAAATCGGTCACAATGGCGCAGATATGTTTAGTCCTTGACGTCTACTAAACCTCGAATACTTGCATCACCCTATATCTTTAGATTGTTTATTCTCTCAAACGACTTTGCCCGCTTTGATATCACTCTTTTTTTATCACATGTTCTTTGTGTACTACTGTGAGATGTGGTGACTTCAATAGATGGATGGATTGTTGAAAAGAAATCTTGCTTAGATGCCCATTAAACGTTGAGTTCACATTTAATGACGTGATTTATTCACTGAAAGATGGATTCACTATGGGATCCTCACTGCCTCCACTACTACCACACTGCTTGCTGCTTTATGACAAGTTCGGAGAATGGAACCTTCAAATTAACGACTCAAGGTTTTCAACTGTACAAAAGGTACATGGACGACAATTTCATCATCTGTCATCATCAATATGATCTCAAGCATGTTCTACAATTAGATTCACACTTCAGATAGAAAATATATCGAAAATTGATGTAGAACTCACAAGAACAGCTGATGGGTCAGTTCACAAATACCCAATGTCCAATGCTCAACTGACGAACTTTAATAGCTGCATCCACATCAGTCGTTAGCCAGATCTCATCACATCTCTTTAAACACTCCCACTAGATCAATCTGCAGGCCCGTTGTCTTAGAACAGGAAATTTCTCATCTAGAGAACATCCTGATTCAAAACGGATTCCCATCACGCTTCATACACAAACACAACCTTATCACACTGACAAAAAACACACTCCATATGAATCTCAACTTCAAAAGTGATTCTACCACTGACACTCAAAACGAGGATGTCAAACACTCTAGGGAGAACATTCTCTGCATCAACGCTGACACTACTATAACACTGTCACTCAACGATTTCTAACAACTCAAACGAGGAACTTCCGCATATAACCACTTCCATGTGCACATACCTATTTCACCTGCTATTCTCCAGTCACGTACATAAGTACTTCGATGAGACACTGTTATCCAAAACCATTCCCGAGTGGTTACACACAGATAACAAGGGACGAATAAGTAGTGCTAGAATTTAACACATCATAGACACGAATCACTCCATCTCAAGGACCTCCTCCTTTAATGCCATCCATAAAGTGGAAACAACCTTCGAAAGACCCCATGTCAGCGTATCCTCTGCTTCACTGAAACTCTTCACATCCATAGGGAGAAACCTGAACTGTGTGTGTAAAACAAGAGTGTTCAACCCCTTCTCCCTTCATGGTCTTAGTTTTCAGTCTCCTCCACCCCCTCCCCCTTTCTTTTTTCATCTTTCCTGTTTCGACACTCTTCACTTCTTAACTAATTTGCTACTCATTCTAATTACCTGATCATTCTGCCTGATCACAATTCACTTTCCAATTATGTCGTCTTGTCATGAAACTTCTTGTTCACACGCATTTTGAATGATAACCACAACTCATCACACCTTCTTGATTTCAATGACAGCTGGTCACAACATTCACACTATTTGTGTTACTATGCTTGATAAACCGTTTTTAACTATCAAACTCTTACACTCACTAGAAAAATGTATAAATTTGTGATTGTATCTATTTGAAAATTAAATCGGCGAAAAGAGACTCTTCGTTCAAATATATTTGTTCTTCTTTCAAATCTTAAAACTTTGGATAATTTTTACAGGCCGATCAATAGACTTTTCAGGTTGATATTCATCATGGACTGATGTCAGTTGGAGGGACATTGGGAACCTAGGAGCACTGGAAAGGTGTTTTGTTCTAGTATGGGACTCCTCTGCAGTGTGGACCCATGACCCCACCCCACCACGGATCAAACTCAGGGTCTTCAGGTTCCATGGCCAGCACGTTACCGTTGACTCACTGCGACGGAATCCAATGCTTCATATTTCCCAATTCTGCTAATTTACGGCACAGCGCTCATTGGTGGCTAGTTTCGAGAGGTGATTTCTGAAGTTCCAGTTCGTCACCGTGGGGCGAACCTGGTGGCCGTGAGGCCAAATACTCAACGATGACATTGGATGATGTTCGTGCTGTGTCATGAACTGACAGAATTTCGAAATATGGGCCACTTGATTCCAATCTAGTGGTGCAATGGTAACGTGCTGGTCACGGAACCTGAAAGTTCTCGGTTCGGTCCCTGGTGGGGGTCATGGGTACACACTGTTGAACAGTCCCATGCTAGGATCAAACAAGTTTCCAAATCTCTTCCAACTGACGTCAGTCCATGACGAATACTAACTTGAAATCACTAAATCCCTACAACCCCCCAAATCCAATCAACGGACTACTTTGTCAGATTGGAGAAAAGTTACATAAATTCTGCACACAAGTACTAGATTGGTTAGCATATGAAAGTCAACAGAAAACGTGCTTATAACTCTGATTCCTGATATATATCAGGAATTATAGTTATAACAAAACAAATGACCATCAGATGGCATACATACTATGAATATAATTCAGCAACGACGTGGATGTTCGTTAACTAAACAATGAGCATCACCTCTATTGTATTGGCCAGACCTCAGAAGGTGGGGTAAGATTCGAGCTATGACTTGGGGATCTTTTATATAACAGAAGGGATAAGCTACGAGCCAATGATACTAGTAAGTTGCTCTGGGAGAAATGAGTAGACCCCTGCTGTGAATCCCAGTTCTCATGGCTTGAAAAAAGACTGTATAAGCCAATAAATCATGGCAATCAAAGTAATATTATAATGCTTATAGTTGATTGAATTCTTCTAATCGAAGAATACGTAGTGATTACCAGGTCATATGATAAGATATCACAATTTATTGTGTCCGGTGGGCAATAACTACATGGGAGATACCATTCATGTAACAACAACAACAACAAGCGTTTGAAGTATTGGATAAGGTGAATTTAATTCAAAAAGCCTAACTTAAAACGAACCAATTTATTGAAGATTATTCCCTGTGAAGCGATGAAGAAACTTTGACTGACACTAATATCATGTAAGAACTTAAATAAAGGATATTTACATACTTTATTAAGTTTACTCGGAGATAAACAAGTCATCATTTATTATTATTATTTATTATAAGTCCCTTGGGTTCCTAGTGGAACATAGGGGTTCAGTAGCACGCCTCCAGTGACCTCTGTTCTCTGAGATCTTTTGAACCTGGTCCCACGACAGCCCACAAGCTCTCATTTCTTCCTCACACGACCTCCTCCATGTCACCCTCACCACGGACGGCCAACTCGTCGCTTCCCATGGGGATTCCACTCGAGCAACTGGCCTAACGCGTGATGTCCTCAGTCGGCCTTCTCAGTGCATGCCCAATTCATCTCCACTTCCTCCTGCATATTTGTTGCGTGATAGGTTCTTGGTTGGTTCGTTCCCAGAGTTCCTTGTTGCTTATTCTTTCTGACCATCTGATCTTCAGTAGCGAGCGTAAGCAGTTGTTGATGAATGTCTGTAGTTTATTGGAAATCCCTTTCGTGACGCGCCAAGTCTCTGAACCATACAAGAGCACTGACTTGATGTTGGTGTTGAAAATCCGTATCTTGTTCCGCATGCTGAGTGCAGAAGATCTCCACACTGGTTTCAGGCTAATGAACGCCTGTCTTGCTTTTCCGATTCTGACTTTGACGTCCTCGTCCGTCCCGCCTGTAGTTGAAACAGTGCTTCCTAGATAAGTGAAGGAGGTTACTTCCTTCAAGTTTCTCCCGTTGACGGTGATTGGAGTTTGTTGTTGTTGTTGATGGTGGTGGTGAGGTATCTTCATCACCTCTGTCTTCTCTATATTCACTTGAAGTCCCGTCTTCGCTGCCTCTTCTATCAACTTGTTAGTTTTTGCCTGTAGATCTTCAAGTTTATGTGACATCAGGCACAAGTCATCGGCGAAATCCAAGTCTTCTAGGTTCTTTTCCGCAGTCCAGCTGGCGTATCCCCCTCTTATCGCTCCCACTGTTTGCTGCATGATCCAGTCGACCACAATCGGGAATATCATGGGGGATAGTAGGCAACCTTGTTTCCCTCCTACTCCTAACTTCACTTCAAAAGCATCACTGAGCTTCCCATTGTGAATGACTTGGCTGGTATAGGGCATCTTCATATAGTTGTTGAATGAGGCGGATAAAAGTTTGCGGTACTCCATAGTAATGAAGCAGTTTCCAAATTACTTCTCGGTAGACGCTGTCAAAGGCCTCCGTAAAGTCGATAAAGTTGAGGTAGAGAGCTGATTGCCATTCTATGCTCTGTTCTATGATGATGCGAAGCGTTGCAATTTGGTCGGCACATGATTTGTACTTCTTGAATCCAGCCTGCCTGTTCCGGTCGTAGTTTTGAATCCAGTGCATCTTAAAGCCTCTCCAGGATGATGCGGCTTAATATTTTACTTGGGGTGGACAGGAGAGTGATTCCGCGCCAGTTCTTGCAAACACTGAGGTCTCCTTTCTTCGGCAGTTTGACAAGGTAACCCTTCTTCCAATCACTAGCCAGGTACCTTCTCTTCCTTCCACACCTTCTGCAATAGTGGTGTGGTGTGAGCACGTCTGCTGTTGTCTCTGCGTCTGTTCTCAGTGCTTCTGACGGGATCCCGTCTGGTTCTGCTGCTTTCCCGCATTTCAGTAGCTTTATGGCGTTCAGGACTTCCATTTTCGTTGGGGGATTTACGTTCACTTGTAATTCAGCGGCTGCAGGTGGTATTTCTGGACGAAGTGCAGGTGGTGGTCGATTCAAGAGCTTCTTGAAGTTGTCAGCCCATTGTTTCCTCTGTTTCTCTTCTTTCGTAATTAAATTTCCTTCTTCATCTTTTATTGGTTTCATCTGTATTGATCTCTTCCCTGATAGCAACCTGGTTATTTGATACAATGTTGTCAGGTCTCTCTTACCCGCCTCCAGCCTGTTCTGCTTCACTTGCCAGTGTTTCGTAGAAGTGTCTTTTGTCTTTGCGTGCACTCTTCTTCACTTCTTTGTTCAGTGTTTTATACATTGTGTTCAGTTCCTCTTGTTGTTGAGCGTCCTTGCACTGGTTTATCTTCTGTTCCACCATCCTCCTCTCCTCTATCAGCTTCCAGGTATCCATCGAGATCCATTCCTCTTCCTGTCTTCTTTCTTCTTCCTTCCTAATACTGCTGTGCAGGTTTCTTTCCACATAGCTTTCAAAGACCTCCAGTGTTCTTCCACACAGGTTTCTTCAGGGATGTTCCTCCATATCTCCCATTTTGTCTTGATGGCTGCTTTGAAGATTTCCTTTGTAGTTTCATCCTTCAGTTTCCGAGTGTTGTACTTGAATTGAGGTCTATCACCAGCTTCCTTGAAGGCTTTTAACCTGATTTGGAAGGTTCCTTGCACTGGATAGATAGTGAGTGGTCTGAACCTACATCTGCTCCTCTTCTTGACCTTGTGTCAAGTAGACTGCGTCTCCATTTTCTTGAGATTGAGATAAAGTCGTTTTGATTTTTAGTGTGTCCTGGTGTCTGGTGAAATCCGTGTCGCTTTGTGGATATCCTTGTGCCTGAACACACTGCCTTCAATCACCAAATCGTTGAATGCACAGAATTCTGCAAACAATTCTCCATTCTCGTTCATTTCACCTAGCGCCTCTCGACCCATGGTTAGTTCTCTTCCTGTGTTGTCCCCTCCCAGTTTGGCATTCCTGTCGCCCATTAGAATTTTGATGTCATCATCCGGGGCATGGTCTTGTCCAGTGTTGATTGAAGTTGTCTGTAGAATTCCTCCTTTTTCTCTTGCTCTGCATTATTTGTAGGTACATAGCGTAGCATTGTATGATAGTGACCTTCCTTCCTTTTGAGTTGAATCCATCTTGCTGTCATGATCCTGGGGGAGATTGGTTCCCACTGCATGACAGCCTTTGATGCTCTTGGGGACATCAAGATAGCCACTCCATAACTCAGTGTGCTCGTGGTTGTCGTCTGGGTGACCGGAGTAGATTATTGATTCTCCAGTTGACAGTTTGGAGAGTCCACTCCCATTCCATCTGCTTTCGCAAATCCCAAGCACTTCGATGTAATACCTTCTCATCTCCTTTGCAATCTGGGCTGCCTTACTGGGTTCAAACATCGTACGGACATTCCATGTCCCCACGTTTACTTTCGCTTTCATCGAGGGAAGCGAAGACACATCGGTGAATTGGCTTCCCGAAGGCTTTCACCAACTGGCGTCATTTCGCCTCTCCGATTCCAGCGAGGAATAATTTTGTTTTCATTTTTTATATTTTGTTTGTGCTTTGAAGTTTCTTTAGCGGTTAGATTTGTTTTAAGGTGTAGGGTTGCTAGGTGTATGCCCAACCTTCCCTCTTTACCCGGGCTTAGGACCGGCTAGTAACTAGTGAACTAGTTAACCAGGCGAGTCATCATGGAAAATATAATTTATATTACCGAAAAAAAAGTTAAAATAAACACTCACCCGGCAGGTTATTACTTGTAGTTAAACAATAACGTTGAGTAAGATGTAAAGTGTAGCGTGTATAGTTCTCAATGATGTAACGTGGTCGAAATGTGACAATTGTTGAAGCTGGTAAATGTGAATCTTGTCCCGTATTAACTTCAAAACCTAAGTATGATATCGAAGATAAACTGGAATATAAAAAAGAGGGGAAAAAGAAATGAAACTGATATAGCCGTTGACTACTTAACTATTATTGATAAAAAAAGCCGATTACGTAATAGACTTAAAGACAATGAGTGAAGTTAATGATGGATCGTGGCTAGTAGTGGAATGCAGGATGCGCATTTCGTCCTATTTGAGACTCACTCCAGAGTCCGAATCCCAGTGGGAACAACATCAGTCAATGGGAAGCAGGTACATCTAGCTGACGAGTCCGAAATAGGAGGAAATGCGCATCCCGGATTCCACTGCTAGCCATGATCCATCATTAACATAATTAGATTGCTGGCAATATCTAGGCATCCGCACAGGAGTCCATATGGTAATAGAGATCGATCAATTCGGTCCAATTAACGATGGTATCATATGAAAAAACCCTTATACTAATGAGTGTTGATGGAATAAATGGTTCCCTTCAAGGTTCGAGGGAAAGTTCTCAGGGTAAGCAGTTTGACAATCCACAAGCTGAGCTAGTAAAGTTGATTACTTACCAGATTTAACTGTCACATTCAGCCATCTAGAATTTTATTCAGCAATCATAGGAATCATAGAGAAACGATAATTTGTTCTTTACAACACTAGTTTCTCAACCAGGTGTGATCAGCACATCCAAGTACATCTAAATCTGATTTTATTTTTAAAATAATCAACTATTCGATTTCAATAGTGCTTTAAGACATGAAATTACTGAACTTAGGTCGAATATATCACGCCATGCACTAGGAAACCACAACAAAAAGGTTGGTAGGCATAACATGCAGTTCACAAAAATAGTCGGAAACTTCATGGATCGATGCTATACCGTAACCCAGATACTGTTAGCTACTTTTAGAACCAATTCTACGCCACATAACAATACATTTTGCGTGTAAGGTAAGATGGTAAACATAACACACTCCAGTTGACTCATTATATGTACAGGTTTATAACATTAGCTCAACTGGCCAAAAAACATAATACTCTACGTTCAAATTCAACCTCATCGGTCACTCATTCTGTACTTTAATTACACGCAATTGATACTTTGAGAAGGCACTTACCATCAGATATCGGTAACCTAGATATATTGTCCACTGTTAACGAGCATGTTTCATACATCCAGGCAAGAACAGAAGACAATTTTGCTAAAATTAGTACAAGTCAATAGAAGTCTAGCCTTTGGCGTCGATGTTTTACTGACCACTAAGACAATAACAACTGTCGTGAACTACAAGCTTAAATGAAGTTGATGCATCCAACCCAGTTAGCTTTCTGTTTTCAGATTTGAGTATCAACGCAAACTAGTTCTAACCACTCTCAAATTGTCGTAAACACCGACTACATACAAAAGTTTGGATCTTAGTAAGACAAAGGCAGAGAGGATGAAAATGAAGATAATGCAAGAAAATTACGACCCTCTTAGAACCTAGGATCTAATGCTTACAGTTAAATCAACACTTGGTAGACTATAAGAACTAACTGAAAAGACCCCAGCTACTCAAATAGTGAATTTCTCAGATTCGTCAAATCGGTCGGGTGAAATGGCATCAAGTGAATAACTATATTTGTGTCTAGTATGCGTATCTCACAAGTGTAGAATGGCTCGGAAGTTCAGGATGTCAGAGTATGGGTTAATGAGGCTTGTTGTTGGATTTACATAGTAAAGAGAAGACATACTGTTTAAAAAAAAACTAACCAATTATTTTCCGAATATACTTTCAATTGTATAGTATCTACACCAGGTTTATCCAATGATATTCCTGGCGACCAAGTACATCGTCCAGTGTTTCTAATACTAACTTCATCTTTCTTCTGATCTAATAGACCATTGTTAAACCTGAAAAAAAGTTGGCCAAAAAAAAAATAGATAGACAGACATACAGATAAAATCAACATACAACCCAGCATACAATTACAATTGCAACAATTCACAGTAGTATAAAATCAACAAGTGCATAGAAGAAGATTGATATCAAAATAGAAAAGGTTGTGTAAGAGAATAAACAATCTGATGATGAAGTTTATCGAAAGTATTCAAGCTTCAAAAGGCATTAAAGAATGAATATATCTACGCCAATGTAACCGATTTTCAGCCATGTCATTAAGAGTCCTCAATCAATGATTCCTATCGTCTTGAGGACCTTAGTTAGAGACTTCATCGCCGTTTTCATCTGGCCACTATGAATCCTATTCGAACCAAACCCAACTTCTCCTAGCATGACATGTCAACGTAGGTGGTGACTCAGTATGTATGAGGAGCATAATGTCCAGGTCACTTCAGTGGATGAAGGTTCATGACTTCATCAATCAACTTACCTGTTATGCTATAGTTATTGGAAATTCACATACGGGTGAAAATAGTGTTCCTTTTAAGTTTCTGCGATACTCTATCCAGCTTGCTGAAGTTAATACAATGATTAGTTTTCTAAATGATTGAATAAAGAAACATGAGTATCCCAAGTGGTTTTGGAAAGCTAAGTCTCTTACATATCACACAATGAACCACATTGACTCTATCATCTCATGCATCCCAGAGTTAGAAAGAAACATCTCACAACGATCCTCTTCACTCCTTGAATTGTCGCTAAATCAACACAAATTATTCACTGAATACATATCACTGCAATTACCAATAAGTTAACACAATCAGTGTAATCAAGCTTATTAAAGTTTCAAATCTGTCGAAATTCAGCGTAAATTTCTTGATGATCCTAAAAGATTTGTATTCAATTATTCTTCGATATCACTATCCAAGTTAGAAGCCTTGTCGTTAAGGTCAAAATTTTACGCTGTCAACCAATATATCAATAAATTTCTCATATACATGTACAATTTGAAAATTTAATTAGCTAAACTAGCGATCTTCTCCAAACTTCTGACCAACAGTTTCAACGCCTCAAATTTACCCATTACAGACTGAAGTCATCAATAAACTCCCAGCACAAAATCAAACGGCCACAGCTTCTTAACAAAAAGGGGGCAGAGAAAAACTCAAACAATTGAGATGTAACAAAGATTTGATAATAACGCGTCCGAACAAGGGTGCAGATGTGGTCATACTAGAGAGAAGTGTCTATATTAACAAAATATTGGCTTTACTCTCGAACGAAAAATTCTATAAACCTGGTAACGAGAAAAATACGACGGAACTGACTGAACAACAAATTATTGATGTTTTAAAAAGGTCAAAATATGACCGGCTAATAACAAATGATCTCTACGAACGCATCAAAAAGACAGGCTCCATAATTCCACGACTTTATGGACTAACGAAAATTCAAAAGGTTGGTCCACTCCTTCGTCCGATTCTAGACACCTCTGAATCGAAATGGCTAGGTGAAATTCCAGAACTTGTAAGAAGACGAATCGCCATTCACTGTCTACGTGATACTTTTTAATTTGTTGATTGCATAAGAGATGACGAGGTATCCAACAAATGTATGATATCATTTGATGTCAAGTAATTTTTTATAGAGATAAGTAGAAGATAACAACATAAATGTTTGCAATACTAACCACCCGGCCTTAAGGAACAGTTACTTAGATGCACATCCAACCTTAAGTTCACATTTAATGACGTGATTTATACACAGAAAGATGGATTCACTATGGGATCCTCACTGCCTCCACTACTATCACATTGCTTGCTGCTTTATGACAAGTTCGGAGAATGGAACCTTCAAATTAACGACTCAAGGTTTTCAACTGTACAAAAGGTACATGGACGACAATTTCATCATCTGTCATCATCAATATGATCTCAAGCATGTTCTACAAATAATAAATAACTGCAACTCACCAATTACATTCACACTTCAGATAGAAAATTGATGTAGAGCTCACAAGAACAGCTGATGGGTCAGTTCACAAAATACCCAATGTCCAATGCTCAACTGACGAACTTTAATAGCTGCATCCACATCAGTCGTTAGCCAGATCTCATCACATCTCTTCAAACACTCCCACTAGATCAATCTGCAGGCCCGTTGTCTTGGAACAGGAAATTTCTCATCTAGAGAACATCCTGATTCAAAACGGATTCCCACCACGCTTCATACACTAACACAACCTTATCACACTGACAAAAAACACACTCCATATGAATCTCAACTTCAAAAGTGATTCTACCACTGACACTCTCAAAACGAGGATGTCAAACACTCTAGGGAGAACATTCTCTGCATCAACGCTGACACCACTATAACACTGTCACTCAACGATTTCTAACAACTCAAACGAGGAACTTTCGCATATAACCACTTCCATATGCACATACCTATTTCACCTGCTATTCTCCAGTCACGTACATAAGTACTTCGATGAGACACTGTTATCCAAAACCATTCCCGAGTGGTTACACACAGATAACAAGGGAGGAATAAGGAGTGCTAGAATTTAACACATCATAGACACGAATCATTCCATCTCAAGGACCGCCTCCTTTAATGTCATCTATAAAGTGGGTCGAGAGGCGCTAGGTGAAATGAATGAGAATGGAGAATTGTTTGCAGAATTCTGTGCATTCAACGATTTGGTGATTGGAGGCAGTGTGTTCAGGCACAAGGATATCCACAAAGCGACATGGACTTCACCAGATGGACACACTAAAAATCAAATCGACTTTATCTCAATCTCAAGAAAATGGAGACGCAGTCTACTTAACACAAGGTCAAGAAGAGGAGCAGATGTAGGCTCAGACCACTATCTAGTGCAAGGAACCTTCCAAATCAAGTTAAAAGCCTTCAAGGAAGCTGGTGATAGACCTCAATTCAAGTACAACACTCGGAAACTGAAGGATGAAACTACAAAGGAGATCTTCAAGGCAGCCATCAAGACAAAATGGGAGACATCGAGCAACATCCCTGAAGAAACCTGTGTGGAAGAACACTGGAGGTCTTTGAAAGCTATGTGGAAAGAAACCTGCACAGCCGTATTAGGAAGGAAGAAGAAAGAAGACAAGGAATGGATCTCGACGGATACCTGGAAGCTGATAGAGGAGAGGAGGATGGTGAAGCAGAAGATAAACCAGTGCAAGGATGCTCAACGACAAGAGGAACTGAGCACAATGTATAAAACACTGAACAAAGAAGTGAAGAAGAGTGCACGCAAAGACAAAAGACACTTCTACGACACACTGGCAAGTGAAGCAGAACAGGCTGCAGGTAAGAGAGACCTGACGACATTGTATCAAATAACCAGGTTGCTATCAGGGAAGAGACCAACACAGATGAAACCAATAAAAGATGAAGAAGGAAACTTAATTACAAAAGAAGAGAAACAGAGGAAACGATGGGCCGACCACTTCAAGAAGCTCTTGAATCGACCACCACCTGCACTTCGTCCAGAAATACCACCTGCAGCCGCTGAATTACAAGTGAACATAAATCCCCCAACGAAAATGGAAGTCCTGAACGCCATAAAGCTACTGAAATGCGGGAAAGCAGCAGGACCAGATGGAATACCGCCAGAAGCACTGAGAACAGATGCAGAGACAACAGCAGACATGCTCACACCACTATTGCAGAAGGTGTGGAAGGAAGAGAAGGTACCTGGCAGTGATTGGAAGAAGGGTTACCTTGTCAAACTGCCGAAGAAAGGAGACCTCAGTGTTTGCAAGAACTGGCGCGGAATCACTCTCCTGTCCACCCCAAGTAAAATATTAAGCCGCATCATCCTGGAGAGGCTTAAAGACGCACTGGATTCAAAACTGCGACCGGAACAGGCAGGCTTCAGGAAGTACAAATCATGTGCAGACCAAATTGCAACGCTTCGTATCATCATAGAACAGAGCGTAGAATGGCAATCAGCTCTCTACCTCAACTTCATCGACTTTGAGAAGGCCTTTGACAGCGTCGACCGAGAAGTAATTTGGAAACTGCTTCAATACTACGGAGTACCGCAAACCTTTATCCGCCTCATTCAACAACTATATGAAGATGCTACATGCCAAGTAATCCACAATGGGAAGCTCAGTGATGCCTTTGAAGTGAAGACAGGAGTGAAACAAGGTTGCCTACTATCCCCCATGATATTCCTTATTGTGGTGGACTGGATTATGCAGCAAACAGTAGGCAGCGAGAAGAGGGGGATACACTGGACGACGGAAAAGAACCTAGAAGACTTGGATTTCGCCGATGACTTGTGCCTAATGTCACATAAACTTGAAGATCTGCAGGCAAAAACTAACAAGTTGACAGAAGAGGCAGCCAAGACGGGACTTCAGGTGAATATAGAGAAGACAGAAGTGATGAAGATACCTCACCACCACCATCAACAACAACAACAAACTCCAATCACCGTCAACGGGAGAAACTTGAAGGAAGTAACCTCCTTCACTTATCTAGGAAGCACTGTTTCAACTACAGGCGGGACGGACGAGGACGTCAAAGTCAGAATCGGAAAAGCAAGACAGGCGTTCATTAGCCTGAAACCAGTGTGGAGATCTTCTGCACTCAGCATGTGGAACAAGATACGGATTTTCAACACCAACGTCAAGTCAGTGCTCTTGTATGGCTCAGAGACTTGGCGCGTCACGAAAGGCATTTCCAATAAACTACAGACATTCATCAACAACTGCTTACGCTCGCTGCTGAAGATCAGATGGCCAGAAAAAATAAGCAACAAGGAACTCTGGGAACGAACCAACCAAGAACCTATCACGCAACAAATATGCAGGAAGAAGTGGAGATGGATTGGCCATGCACTGAGAAGGCCGACTGAGGACATCACGCGTCAGGCCCTCGAGTGGAATCCCCATGGGAAGCGACGAGTTGGACGTCCGAGGGTGACATGGAGGAGGTCGTGCGAGGAAGAAATGAGAGCTTCTGGGCTGTCGTG